AAGAATACAGGGTCGTTTTTTCATTTGGCATTTAAAAACGGCGCCTTTATTCAGATTTTAGATCATAGATACTAAACAGCTAGCTAAACAGGGTGTATACCGTGTAACAACAAAATCATTGACCAGGACGTCATTCAGTTGTTTTATGTTATTGAATTTTGACATTTGAATCGAAGATATCGTTCCTCATAATCAAAATTTTTCTTGAAAAAAACAATTGAAAATCACTTCCGGACATATCGCAAGTGGACATTTGTATCTAAAATGGCGGCGCAAGTTATTTTCTCTAAAATCAATATGGCTACCCTGTGACGTCATTGATCGAAATTTCGTCAAGCTACCTAATAAAATAGCGAATAAACGAAGCACTTCGATTAGTTTTAGTTGATAAGAATCATCGATATCAGGAAACAAGCTTCAATTGAGAATTTTCATTCTGTATTTCAATTGGAGGTGAATTTTCGAAAACGTCTCGAGTTAATAGTCTAATATGAATAATGGATATTGAGAAGGCCGTTTCTGAATATACTGAATCGAATGGGCCATGGTTTTAGTCACCGTTCTTGATTTTTTTTACCGAAATGAGATTTTCTTATCACCCTGTATATTCCACAATGGTGCTTTTTTCGTCTTTCATTGTCCTCAACAAAACATGAGAATAGTTCTTTCCAATATTCAGCTCAAGTGAAGTTCTACAGAAAAAATTCTGGAAATGCAAGACTTTCGAAAAAAATTCTAATTTTTGTTCCAATGACCAATTAAGGAGAAATCACGAAAACGTTCCAAGATCAGGAAAACATTTCTCGAGTTCTGGCAGCATTGGAAATGTAGACTATAGTATAATGGTTCCACTTTACACCCTGTGTAAATTTTGTTCTGCAGACTTTTTCAAAGTGTGAAGATCCGTCAATTTTTTCAAAAAATACAGGTCTTCGAAAAAGGGTCAAATTATAAGTGGTCCATTTAGTCTGTTGAGAAATGTATTCGCGAGATTCACGAAGTGGGCGACATCTAGGTTACATAATACGAACTTCAAACTGGGGGAAAACAAACTGTTGTCTATGGATAAAGTATAAGACGACATTGCATTCAGCTTGCTGTAGCTGTAGTCAAACTTGTCAATGACATGAAGTGTTGGCACTGTTGGTAGTGATGATGGTTGAGTTGGTTAATTTTTTTTTCTACAAGCGTGCGTGATTCACCCTATACCCGCACGCAATTTAGTTTGGGAAGTGTCATTTTCCCTCAACAGTGCGGGAAAATTTTCCCACACTAGTGCGGGAAAACAAAGATATGATAAAATCGCTAGTAATATAAGTTTCTTTCCCGCACTCGACTGCTTGCCCGAACTCCGCTTTGCGTCGTTCGTGTCAACGGCAGTCACGTGCGTGAAAGAATCACTTTCCGCACTTGTTAGGAAAATTACTATAACATTATTAAATTTTTATTAGTTTAGTGAACAGTGAACGGGTGGTATCAATACAAAATACAATATATAACACATATAAAACGTTCACTTTTGTAGATAATATGTAAAAAAAATTGAAGAAAGGAATAAAGTGGGAACATTATATAACACAAGATCACAAACAATAAAAACATTTTAAAATTTATAATTGAGGAATTCATCGGTTGAATAAAAACCCTCAGAGGCTAGTAATGTCTTGACTCTTCTTTTGAAAAGGTGGAGTGAAGTTATTGTTTTAATTTCGGTAGGCAGACAGTTGAAATACCTTATACCAGAAAATGAAGGTGATTTTTCGAATAAATTTGTTCTGTGTTTTTTTGTTCTGAGCAAGTCACCACTTCTTGTTGGATATCTGTGGAACTGAGAGTTTGTTTGTAACTTACTTTGCATTTTTTTTATGTATACAACACAGTGATATATGTAGATACATGGTGTTGTAAGTATTTCGAACTCCTTGAATTTGGGTCTACATGAATCGGTTCGTTTTAAATTGAATATAAGTCGTATAACACGCTTTTGAGCTATGAATACTCTGTCAATGTGGGTGCTACTTCCCCATAAAATGATGTAAGATATAATAGAATGTATCATGGCATAGTATACGTCAATAAGGACATTTTTGTCAAGTATATTTTTCAATTGAAACATTGCATAGAAGTTTGAGCTCAGTTTTTTACAGACTGAGTTCACATGCGTTTTCCAGCTGATATTATTATCGACAAATGTTCCTAAAAATTTGGTAGATTCAGAAGAAGTGATACGCGTATCGTTAACAAAAACTTCAAGTGTTGTCCCTATCTTTCTTCCATAAAACTCAATAAGTACTGTCTTTTCGGCATTAATCATCAGCCTGTTATTATGACACCAAGTAACAAACCTGTTGGCAGTTGAATTTATTTTATTTTCGAGTTCCACGGTACTGTCTGCTGCCTCCGCGATAGATGTGTCATCGGCAAATAGTACTAAACAACCCGCATCAATGAATTTCGAGATATCATTGATGAAAAGTGAAAATATCAAGGGTCCTAAAACCGACCCTTGTGGGACACCAAGGTCGACATCAAAAATTTGAGATGTAGTTTGTTCTATCTGAACATATAAAAGAACAGCTACAACATGTTTACAATACCCAGATTGTCCTGCTTTGCATGAACAAATACAAATCCATTGTTCTACAGGAGTTTCTCTGGACCCCAACTTCAATTTTACTTCATGTGGGGAAGATTTCATCGCCGAAGTTTGTAGATAAAGTGCAAAAATGTGCTTTTTGTTAAAGTCTTCTTCCTCACACAAAATCACATGATAAGCGCGGAGAACAGCTTCTCCTTCCACTACTGGTCGGCTTTCTCCGTCTAAATAGAGCGAAATATCTGCCAAATGAACATCTACAACATGCATTTTTAGCGTTTTCGATCGAATATTGACAATTAATGTCAAGAAATTCAAAAACTTATCACTTTTATCAGTACACAGTACACAAGCTAATGGCACTAATGAGATTGAGTGAGGATTGAGTTTGTTTTCCCCCAGTTTTGACGGGGCTTTGAAATGAAACGATGAAAACCGAGCGCCACCTGGTAACATTGATTCCCGCGAATATGGTATTCTGTAACTATGGACTGATTGAAGTGATTGGTGGATATTCCCTCCAGAAGTTCATAACAACTTCCATCCTCACAAACATTTATGGCATGAAATGTTCAAAACTTACTTAGTGTATTGAATATATTTACTTTCAATATTTAGTATTTCTCCGTTCAGTAGTTCTCTTCAACTCCTATTCATTATTATTAGCTTGTATGCGATAAATGCTGAAAATTTTTCTCTTTCAACTTTTTCACTTTTATTCGTCATTCCAAATTTGAATGCACAACAAAAATTGAAGATCTGTTGGAAAACCTCCCACTCAGTATAATGAATTGATCTGGCATCAGGATGGCGCGCCACCTCATCAAGTTATGTCCGTACGGCATCACTTGAATGATTGTTATCAGACGTGGATCGAAAAATTTGGAACAGTGGAATGGCCGCCGAACAGTCCAGATTTAACACCTCTAGATAACTTCCTATGGGGCTATTTGAAGAATGAAGTGTATAAGGAAAGAAGTAGAAATTTGGCTGATTTGAGAGGAAGAATTTTGGAATGCATTAAGATATTGAACAATCATCACTCCAACTTCATTTGCAATTCGATAAATAAATTGAATAAAAACTACAGAAAATGTATACAAAACAACGGTGGTCACATCGAACATCTGTGAAATTGCATCTCCTTCAGTTATAAAAGTGCGTTTTTTTTCTTTCATGGCAGTTGCGATTTGGTAAAATCTAAAATGTTCAACCTCGAATATCTCGAAAACGGCTGATCCAAATATCAATGACCAATATATGCTTTTGGGTGTATGATAAATTGACATTCATCATACAGGGCGTGGAAATGAATTCTGAATTGAGACTCTATCACGAATCTGCGATTAGAGGTCTATAAAAATCACAAGTTTCCATCGTTCAAGTTTGAACCCCCTGATTGGGTATAAAAGTGTTGAAAAGGAATATTCTCAGATGAATTATGAACATACAAAAAAGGATATATATTTATATAAAGCAATACATTGAGAATTCGCATTCTCTATGTGATGAGAATATTTACTCTTTTTCAGGTAATTCAATAGAAAACAACTACTTTCCTGGCTATATGCCACGACGAACATTGAATTATATCTATTGAACACACACGATAAGAGTTTGAAAATAAAATATAAGAATTTCTGAAATTGAGAATTTGCATTCTCCTTCAGACAAAAAAATGTATATACACACATCATTCTGAATATTCAACAGAAAACAACTACTTTCCTGGCTATTTGCCACGTCGACGTGGCAAATAGCCAGGAAAGTAGTTGTTTTCTGTTGAATATTCAGAATGATGTGTGTATATACATTTTTTTGTCTGAAGGAGAATGCAAATTCTCAATTTCAGAAATTCTTATATTTTATTTTCAAACTCTTATCGTGTGTGTTCAATAGATATAATTCAATGTTCGTCGTGGCATATAGCCAGGAAAGTAGTTGTTTTCTATTGAATTACCTGAAAAAGAGTAAATATTCTCATCACATAGAGAATGCGAATTCTCAATGTATTGCTTTATATAAATATATATCCTTTTTTGTATGTTCATAATTCATCTGAGAATATTCCTTTTCGACCAATATATTTTTGGAATCAGGAAGAGAAGATCTTGAATTTTTTCGAAAAATATATTGGGTGTTCCATTGAAAATAACGAAATTGGTACCCATTTCTTATATCAGCGATATTCATTTGTTTCATCTGGTATAATTTTCTGGAGGTTCAGAACAAACCCTACAACTTTTGCATTCGAAATTTTTCTCTATCTTCAATGATAAACCCTGTAGAAGCTGTTCAAATATACGGAATGACCCTGTACAATGCCAAGAACTAGATTGAGTTATGGCACAACAAAACGCACCTATTGTTAGAGTCTGTGTCCGAACCGTCACTTTTGTTTTAGGCGTGCTGTTGCACGGCCCACCGGGATGCGGCAAGACCATGATAGCGAAGGCGACAGCCAGAGAGGCCGGCACGCAGTTCATCAACCTAGATCTATCCATCCTCACCGATAAGTGGTACGGCGAGAGCCAAAAGTTGGCGGCGGCCGTATTCACGCTGGCCGTCAAACTGCAGCCGTGCATCATCTTCATCGACGAGATCGATTCCTTCCTGAGAGCGCGCAACAGGTATGAATCTCGGGTAGTTTTAGTCTTACGAGGTGTCCAGGATGAACTCCTATCAAATCCCATCTACTGTTTTTCGGTCAAAGTTCTTGACCTACGGTCTACTTGACAGAAGGATTTTTTTCAATATCGCGGAATATAGGTTGCATTTTGCCCGTTAGATGCCTCGGGGAACACCTCCCTTGGTAATGTGTTCCAGAGCCTCGCTGTTCGTTGGATGAACGAGTCTTTAGAAAGAGATGTTCTGCAGGTCTCCAAAGTGACCATGAAGGGGTGTGAAGACTCAGCTCGATGGGTTAATCTCGCGGGGACTGCCAAGGGAGGAACAATTTTTGATATTTCAGAAGAGCATCGTCCATGAAAATATCTATAAAATAGAGCAAGATCGCCAACTTTTCTACGGTGATCTAGAGAAGTGAGTTTGTGAGCGAGGCATCACCCGCGAGACGAATTGCGCTTCTTTGGACAGAATCCAACAGTTTCAGGGCATGTTTGGGTGCTGCACTCCAAATATGGGAACAGTATTCCAGGACAGGTCGGATCTGGGCCTTATAGACCATAAGCAGCTGACTGTAAGTGCTCCTGGCTCGAAACAGAAAACTAAGTTTTTGGGATGCACTTTTAGCAATAATTGATCGCATGTGATTTTCCCAAGAAAGGCTATTGCTGATAGTAATACCAAGCATCGAAATGGATGTCTTCAAAGGTATGGTTACTCCTGACAAGCTTATGTTGGGCACAGTGAGATCGGCTTTTCTAGAGAAAAGGCATGCTTGTGTTTTATTTGCATTGAAATCTACCAAGTCATTGGATTCCCATGCGAGAATTGTTGCCAAGTCCATATTTATGTTGTCAACATCTCTCCCTCGTTCGTTTCTGATTTGCCTGGCTGGTATTGGAATCCTGGAAGAGAAGGCGGTATGGAGGGTACTTCATCCGCGAAACTGAGTACTGGACATGAAGTTGCTTCCAACAAATCGTTGATATGGAGTAGAAATAGTGTTGGTGTTAGAATTGATCCTTGCGGAACACCAGCATTTATGATAAGAGAGTCAGATGAAACTCCTTCGACCACTACATGGAGAGACCTGTTTGAGCATGGTTTCACTATATTTTTCAATAGATTGCTGCCATATATGTGAGACGTAAGCGAGCAGGTCACCAGTTGATCTCTGATGGCGGAAGCCATATATCGCCTATCGTTGATAATACCTGAATGTTCCAGGTATTTCATGAGCTCGATGTTGATAACTTTCTCCATGATCTTTGAAATAATAGATAGCAGGGCGATCGGTCTGTAGTTGCTAGGTAGAGTCATTTTGCCTTTTTTATGAACTGGTTGTACTCTTGTAATTTTCCAGTTGGACGGGAATATCCCCAATTTGTAAGAGTAGTTGAACAACTTCCAGAGAACAGGTGTTAGTTCGGGAGCACATTTCTTGAGTACAATCGGTGGGATTCCGTCGGAGCCACAAGCTTTGTTGGTGTTGAGACCCAATGAAATCTTCCTTACACCATATTCTATCCACCTTGGCGGTGTCCTAGGTGGTCGACTGCTATGCAAACGTGAAGCGATGCGACGCGACGCGAAAATATCAAACCACGAAAAATATGTGTCGTATGTGAATTTTAAAAATAATTTGCTAGGACCATATATTTTTTACCTGTCTTGTATTCTGATTGATTGAATATTAACTAATATAGCTATTGAGTAAAATAACAATCACTCTGTACAATGTGTCCAGTTTTCGATGCTTTTGCATGATATCTCAGTTATCTTTGGAGATAGAACCTTGCGGTTTTCGCGGTCCTGTGCCACTTTTTTGTGAAACTCAAGATGGCCTAATCAGATTTTGCAGGACTGTTTCCGTTCATGAGATACAGGGCGATTTTGAAAATTTATACTTTTTGGACCCCCTCTATATCTACGAAGTTTATCAGCGAAAATGTCAAATTGAAATCTCAACCCATAGAGAATTTTGTGCAGAATTCAGTGGCGCACAAAATTTTTTTTTTCGAGGTGTGGTTTTGAAAATACGACTCAAACTTATGATTTTTCAAATTGAACACCCTGTATTTTATAGGCTCATTAAATTCCTTATTTTTTTTCCTTCGAAATGATATATGATGTATGAATATAACATCTTCAAAAATGTTAAAAAATCACTAAAACATTGAATTTTAATAGTGGGCTATGGGTTTTTGGAGGGATTTTCATATGAAGAAATTTACAATTGAAGGAATGTTTCCTTTGATTCTTCCATGAAGGGGAAAATAACAATTTCAACACTAATTAACTTGCAATACATAAGACTCAGATACCTGATATCCACAAATATATAGTAATGAAAAGTTTATAATGTAGAATAAGCACCTGATTGAATATTTACTAAAACAATTGAATTTCGGAATTATTCAGTGATTTATTCATTGAATTGTTCAAATTGATGTCCATTTTTCATCACAAACTTTCTCAATACATATTAATCATTGAAAGATGTCTTTGTAATTCCTGGAAAACTGCCTCTGTTGTTGCACAAAGTTCTTCAAGTATGTTGGGCCACTCACTGTATTAAGAAGTATCGAGAAAGTTTGTCAACTGTATGTTGGGGAAAATGGATATCAATTTGAACATGTCAATGAATAAGTTACTGAATAATTCCGGAATTCAATTATTTTAGTATATATTTAATCAGGTGCTTATTCTACATTATGAACTATTTATTTGTTGCTATCAGGTACCCAAGTTTAGTGTTTTGTTATTTAATAAGTGTTGATATTGGTTTTGACCTCGCCATAGAAAAATTTAAAGAAATATTTCTTCAATTGGAACGTTTTTCATAAGAAAAATCCATAACCAACTATCAAAATTCAATATTTTAGTGATTTTGAGCAATTTTGAGAATTTTATATTCATTCGTTATATATCATTTTGAAGACAAAAAAATAAGGAATTTAATGAGCTTATGAAATACAGGGTCTTCCATTTAAAAAATTATAAGTTTGAGTCGTATCTCCAAAACCATACCCCGAAAAAAAAAATTGAGTGCGCCACTGGATTATGCGTGAAATTTTTCTATGCGATAAGATTTCGATTTGACATTTTTGTTGAGAAACTTCGTGGATATAGAGGGGGTCCAAAAAGTATAAATTTTCAAAATCGCCCTGTATCTCATAAACGGAAACAGTCTTGCAAAATCTGATTAGGCCATCTTGAGTTTCATAAAAAAGTGGCACAGGACCGCAAAAACCGCAAGGTTCTATCTCCAAAGATAACTGAGATATCAGGCAAAAGCATCGAAAACTGGACACACTGTACATATATTTTTGTTAATCCTGAGTTATTTTATTGTTTATTAGCTATTTAGTAAAATATAAACAATCACTCTGTACATATATTTTTGTTAATCCTGAGTTATTTTATTGTTTATTGAGAAAATAGAAAATAGCTTCCATTCAGAAATAAAATTCTGGTATGAGGAAGTTGATGACAAACAACAATAATAAAATAACATAAGGTGAACAGCAAAAAAATCTAAAAAATCAAAAAAATCTAAAAATGTTAAATCGATCAAGTCATAAAAATAGCAACAGGGACTAATCAGTAGATGGTAAAGTATTTAATTTATCTATTTCGTAATAAAATCATGTGTTTTTTCAATTCAATTCTGAATTTTGATATATGTCTGCAATTTTTTATATTGTGTTGTTATTTATTGAATTCAGCTAGAGCACCGTGAGTAATTTTTTTTTGGACAATTATAGAAGTAGCAGAATCAAGGTGAAATAAGTTTAATTGTCTCCTGTGATGACCATGAATTTTTGAGTTTCTTATCATGATTATGATTCCTCCTTGTTATTGTACTTATAGATATTTTCTCTTTGTACTGTTCAGCAAGTGAAATTATATAAATATTATACAAGGGAAAAATGTAGTAGATACAAGCTCGAGGTTGTGTTCTGAAATCTAATATTTTTCCCGTGTATAATACACTTTTTTTTCTGTGACAGGATAAAGGATGAATCAATATTAAAAAGATATTAGATTATATTAGAATCATAAAATGATCGACGTGTTATTTGAAATTTTCAACAGGAATTACACCTGCATTGCAGGCATCTTTATAATTATTTTGAAGTAACCAAATATCTGTCAGTCAAATTCTGTGATTTGATTTTAAAAATTGCGAAATTAGTGGTTGTTCAGTAATTGGTAAGGAGTAAGGGGGTTATTGGCTTATTCTTTGGAACTAGCACTAAAAAAGCCATCAACAGTGTATGTAATTTATGAAAAGTGACATTTTATAACCGGTCAACAGAGATGAAGTGTCGAACTTTTTTACCGTCACAGAAAAAAATATTATGATAGTGATTTTGGTAGAATGTTTATAGGCCAAACACTTATCGTGAGATTAATCTTTGATATGGACTATCGAGATAGTTGCAAACCAATATTTATAAGAAAGAAATTGTTGACTGCCCCATTCATCTATATTTTGAAATGTTTGAAATACATCAGAAGCAACTTGAAATCCGTCGATACCAATGCTTCTTCACTTGCTCACAATACACGACATAGTGGTCACCTAAAACTACCAAACCCCAAAACTACCAAAAATTCTGCTATCTACAAAGCATTGAGCTTCTACAACAAACTGCAAACGGCAATTGAAAATTCTGAATGTGATTATATATATTATACTGGTAATCGTCTCTTCGTATTCATTTATTTCATTTATTAATATACATCTTTAGACAATAAAGCATATTCTCTATAAACAGCACCGACCACGAGGCGACCGCTATGATGAAGGCGCAGTTCATGTCGCTGTGGGACGGGCTGATTACCGATTCGAATTGCACGGTGATCATCATGGGGGCGACGAACAGGCCGCAGGACCTCGACAAGGCGATACTGCGAAGGATGCCTTCGACGTTCCACGTGCCCATGCCCAACGATGCGCAACGCAGGCAAATCATAAGGTATGTATTGTTACGATAAACGTCCGGATTCGTACTTTCACAAACACTCAGTAGAAAGCAAAACGATTCATTCGAATATGATTAACATGAACACTACAGTCTTCAATACACATTACAGAATCACAATAATTACGTCTCTTTCTAATGAAATAAACCTCCAACTTTTTTAATAATAATAATAAACTTCTTCATTCCGGAATCTTTCCCAAAAAACAACTGAATGACGCCCTGGCGTTGTCACCCGGTATGATCTATTCCAACACTTTCAACTCATCCCAGATTGATCCTGGAGAACGAGCCGATCTCCGACGACGTCGACTACGACGCTCTCTCGCGCTGCACCAGCGGCTTCTCGGGCTCCGACCTCAAAGAGCTCTGCCGCAACGCGTCCGTCTACCGGGTGCGCGACTTCCTGCGCCACCAGATAGAAAGACCGCGCGCAGGTGCGGGCGAGTCTGGGCGCGGCGAATCGTCCGACGACGAGTTCCACGACGCCCTGCGACCAATCACGATGGAGGATCTGAAGCTGTCGTTCGCGAAGATGCGGGAAAGCAAGCTGCAGTGCGGGTCTTTGCCGATGCAGAGCCGGATCGATCTCGATTAGAATGGTATTGGTTGGTATTAGTCTCGAATGAGAAGGTATGCGATTTGGAATCGGTGCTGTTGCACAGCTGTTCACTGTCGCAAACGATATAGGAGGAGGATCTTCAGTATTCATAACTTTCTAACCTTGCTACTAACCTCTACTATCAAAACAAGAATGATTTGATCTGACCTATTTTCTTGGACTTTGTTATGTTGGCAGCATTGTTATAAAGTTATTAATGCTTCAGAACTTTCTCTTCTCTTGATTAGGATAGTGAGCAGCTTACTTACTGGTACTTGCGGAGTCAAACTTACTGTTGTTATCTAGTTGGATTCGTATGTTATTTCCACAATTCCACTATCCATGAGTTACCAGGATTTTTTATTATACCTATGTGGCTAGACATTAATAAATTATGACACTACTTCAATCTGAAAATATTTATTATATTCTTTATCCATGAAAGACTATTGTCCCTATAGAGTTTTCTATCTTCCTGAAATATTATGCAGTATATTCATCATGTATCAAGTATTTAGAGTCATTTTGTTATTATTTCAATAAAAATTTCAAAACTTCATGCTCTGTCATAGGATGAGACACTTAATCTAAAACAGTAATCTTTTCATAGAAATTAGGAATCATTCAAACTAAATACAGAAATCTTCACATCAAACCTCATGGAACACATTTTTCAACCGACATAACCTACTATCTAGATCAAAACCCAAAAATCTCATCCAAATTGTTCGCCTGGAAACGGATCCAAACTGTCATTATGGCATCGACTCATGTCACTAGTTGTTTGAAAACATGAAAACTGAAAAGTTACAAAAAATGACAGGTATAATTTTGTTATTTTTATCAATATCATGTATACTATACTGCTTAATGTTTCTAGAAAATGCAAAACTCACTAGAAAAATAGTTTTCCTCACAAATGAACAAGGTTGGCAACTTGAGAGCAAACTCACAACACAAGCGTCTAGCTACACCATATCTATCTGTGACTCTGAATTCTCGCGCGTACTTGGCGTCACTCACAACACGCGATATTTGCGCTTCCGTTTACCGGGTGCGCCACCAGATAGAAATGACGCGCGCGGGCGATTCTGGGCGCGGCGAATCGTCCGACAGCGAGTTACACGACCAATCACGATGGAGGATCTGAAGCTGTCGTTCGCGAAGATGCGGGAAAGAAAGCTGCAGTGCGGGTTTTTGCCGATAAAGAGTCTTATCGATCTGGATTAGGATCGTGTTGGTTGGTATTAGTCTTGAATGAGAAGGTATGCGATTTGGAATCGGTGCTGTTGCACAGCTATTTACTGTCGCAACCGATATAGGAGAAGGATCTACAGTATTCATAACTTTTTAACCTTGCTACCAACATCTTTTCTTTTCTCCAAGAAAAGTTCGGTGTAACGTTGTTATCAAGTATCTATTTATTAAGGACAAAAAACATTAACATTATTTTACTGCTGAAGTTATCGATTGAACAAAATCATATCAAGAAATATTTAATCAAATTTGACTAAAAACATCATCTAGTTAGAGTAGTTTTCAAAATGTCGGCCTGACTTGACCGAAATCAATAGGCATTCAGGAAAGAATCACTTGTATCAGTATTCGTTTATACGAGTCCATGCATAGATTTCGGGAGGATGTAATTCAATGTCCTGCGTGGCATTAGCCAGGGAAGTAGTTGTTTTTCTCCCGAAATCTACCATTGTTGTTTATTTTATAAACACTGTGTGGAAATGACTGAGCTTTTTGCATTTATATAAGTAGTAAGATATACCGCAGCGTGCATCGTGTTAACTTCGTGTTATATTCCATCCAGGTAAGTTCTTATAATTCTACAATTATATCGAATCTTTCTGGTGATCCGGTCAGTGTTGTCATGTTATTTTTTCAATCATAAATGATTCATCCGCCTAGGGATTGTGACAGGCCCCTAAAACCTCGTGTCTACAATTGTAGACATTTGTATTCAACCAATTGATTATCTGTTTGAAATAGACAGAGACACTGAGGATGATTTTTCATGCGGTAGATATGGTACTCATAAATTCGTGGACAGAGTACAGAAGAGACTCTCAGCTGCTTGGTCGGTCAGCAAAAAAGACTCTTGGGTTACTTAACTTCAGAATGGAACAAGGGCAGGTGCTCATCAAAAATGTCCATCAAAAGACGACGTCTCAGTTTAGCCGAGTCGGAACAGAACTGAAGTGAGGCCTCTTGCAGATGTACAGTTTGAAATTGTGAATTATATTCCAGAGCACACTGGAGTGTCCCTAGAAAGAAGATGTAAACATGTTTGCTGCAAGGGCAACACTCGATAGATTTGCACTAAATGTAAGGTACATTTGTGTCTTCAGAAAAATCGCAACAATTTCAAAAAAATTTCACAAGTTTTATTTGGATTGAACAGTTTTTTTCATATTTGATTTTATGTAACCATTGTTCTTTCGTTTTAAATGAATATCGTAATATGTTCTTCGGAAATCTCTATCATCCCTTCACTAGCAATACCAGTCAGACGAACTAGACAAGCCCAGTCAGCACATCCTTTCGTTGTCAACCTCGAAAGATGTCGAACAGCACTTTATCAAAACTCCTTCATCCATAGAACGGCTAGGCTCTGGAATTCATTGCCTGTGGAAGTATTCCCAACAACATAATATAATCTCCAGAAGTTCAAAAAAAAAACCAATACCTACCTCCTATCCCTATCCTCCCTAGGAACGCACGATGTTCTTTGAACATTATAGGGATTCCCTTTCGTGCGCTTCAAGCGATAAAAAAAAATAAAGATGTTCCATTAACTACAAATGTCTACAATTGTATACCAATTTTTTTTTGTACTTCTAGGAGTGTTAATTCCAAGAAAATGTTCAGTGTTTACAAAAATCATATTTTGACAAGATATGAACAAACCAATTTTTTTTATCTCTTGTAACAAACCAAGTTCGATTTCTAATAATTTATCGAGTCCGTAAATCATGATATCGTGATCACATTGGTAGACGGATTCTTACGTTATGGTTTTTCCGAAACAAAGAAGAGAAAATGAAATGAAATGAAACAAAAAAGGGTTGCATCCATTTAATTTGAATGTAGCTTTCCTCACATCTCAAAATACTCAACAATCCCACTATACATTTTCTGATATAATTATCGTATGTCAGAAATTGACAGGTTAAATAAATATATTGATTTATCATCATATAGGTACTCTCATCTCATTCCATCACATAAACTATTTCGGCTAGAAACGATCAATAAAATTTCGAATGCAAAACGAAAATATGATTTATGATATTCTTTCAGTTCTTTCCGTCTGTGGTGGTTTTTGCCGCTGGCGTTTGCGCTGGGGTGGGGTCGTCTTGGAATAACGGGTTCTTCACCTCCATTTCTCCTGTCTGCAAGAATAAAAGTAGTCAAATCCAGCCATTACATTTTTCATATTAACTCAGTCGTTACTTTTTATGATACATCTGAAAAACTTCACAAACCATTAGATTCCCACAACATTCTCAATAACAACTCTGATTATTTACACGAGATTTAGATATTTTTATGAAAGAAGAAATGTCGCATCAGGGCCGGATTGAATTATTTTTATTAGGAAGCCTTCAGAATATCAGGGTTACAACTACGAAATAGCCACAATGCTCAAAGTGGCATGAAATGTTAGATAAATACAAAAAGTTCAAAGTCATGGCCACACAATGTTCATCAAAATGAACAACAACGGTAGATTTCGGGAGAAAAACAACTAATTTCCTGGCTAATGCCACGCAGAACATTGAATTGGATCCTCCCGAAATCTATGCATCGACTCGTATAAACGAATACTGGTACACGTGATTTTTTCCTGAATGCCTAGGCCACACTAGACACCTACAGACTGGCTTCAAGCTCTTTGACTCTCATCAGTGGAGGGCAGTTGAACAAAAATCATGTCGGCATTATATTCCCTCAGAGGCGTCCTCCATAGACAATATGAAAGCAACGCCATTTGAGTAAGAAAGACGGAAAGAAACACTCCAAAACTGAAATTCCCATACGGGAGTGGCTGGTTGCCCTACTGGCGTAATTTCAACTACGAAATAGCCAATGCTCAAAGTGGAATGAAATGTTAAATAAATACAAAAAGCTCAAAGACATTTCATTTTATGAACATTGTGTGCATTGCATTCAGGAAGAATCACTTGCATCCGTATTCGTTCATACGAGTCGATGCATAGATTTCGCGAGGATGTAATTCACTGTTCTGCATGGCATTAGCCAGGAAAGTAGTTGTTTTTCTCCCGAAATCTACCATTGTTGTTCATTTTATGAACATTGTGTGGAAATGACTGAACTTTCTGTATTTTTATATCAGGGTTAGTTATTTCCTTCCTCAGAAAGGATATTCCTAGATAATTCAGCAACTTGCAGATAGATAGATTCGAGCAGATTCCGAGAGTATAGGTAAATCGGCCATATTTTGCTCAGTTTTACTAGCGCCGCCTACGAACCAGCCAAGAACTAAAGCCGAATTCGGCTTCAACATTTTACATTACATCATGAAGGTAGATCATCTTGTTAGTGAAAATAATCAAGAATAACACAGTATATAGCGTATTCGGGTGAAATACTCATACAAATTAACATAACATTGATTAGTCTAACTCATATACATGGTGATTTACGTAGGGCACACATGAAAAACTTGGAAATTGGTATGATGCTATAATCGATTATTTCCAATCTACCTGTAATATTTCTAGGCCTCCATTAATACAGGGTGTGCCAAAAAATGAATTTTGAATAGAAACCAATTTTTTTTCACACGGTTCGATAGGCATTATTCTGAATTCAGACAACTCAATTTATATAACTAATCTTTCACTAGATATCTCGATATTTCTGAAAAATAATTACGCATTGAAAATTGGCCGCAAACTCAACTTCTACAAATGGCATTATTTTTTTTGACATCATATGATAGAAAATTGAATTCGAGGCCAAGTTATTCAAGAATTCCCTATACCTAGATCAAACCTCTTCGAGGTACGAGGTATTCAATAAAAATCAAGTTAATCAAGTTCTACTCACCGGTGCCAAACCGGGACATTCATAAACAGTATAATCTCCTTCTTCATTTTCCTCATCACTTTCCCCATCTGACACTGAACCATTTCTTTCTCCAGGCGGAGCTCTGAAAGAAACAGCCATTAATACCACGATGAATTTGTCATTTATTTATTTATTTATTTGTCCATACAGGCCTAGTGGCCTATTTACATGGATCAATACACAGATATACATGTACACATTTAAAAGCAAAAGAGTGCTTTTTCTTCATTCATACTATTATCAGAACTGTAGGGGGATTCGTATGACAATTATTGAAATGATGGTTAATATTATTGGAAGTGAACAATTTTGCAGCATTCCTTATTTACATGGAGTGAATGCAAGCTGAATAAACGTTAGGGAAAATATGTTCATGATGAGAGGTTGATTATTTGAGTGATGATCAATCTATAAAAGGCAGATTGAGACAAAGTCCATTCCAAGTTCAACATTCCATCAAAAGTATTAGCTAAGCGCAAAATAGTTGCTAGTGGGGCTCTGCAACCTGAGATGGACAATGATATCTTGAAAGGTGCTGTAAATCGGGTTCGACGAGATGGTACATTAAATGGAATCAATGACAAGATTTCTGGTGAGTTTATCTTATTGTTTATAACTTTATATAGAAACATCATCGCTAGTAGGTTTCTTCTTTGTTCTAAGGCTAAGATTTTAAATTCCTTCCTCAGTTGTACCGTGCGGACATAATTATAGTCAGGCCATACGTGATTCTTTTTAAAATACAGGTACCTGAGGAATTTATTTTGTATCTTTTCAATTTCCTTCAAGATTGTTATGTGCTCTCCTAACCATATCACAGAAGCAAATTCAAGTTTTGGTCTTACCAAGCTGTAATAAAGTAATTTTATGGTATCCACATTATTGAAGCTATGAGTTTGTCGAATCAAAAATCCTAAAGCACGGTTTGCATCCCGAACTATTTTAGAAATATGATTTGTGAACGAAAAAACATTGTTATATGTTACTCCCAAATCCCTAACCTCAGTTTTCCGTGCTAACACTTCATTGTCCATCTGATATTCGAAGTTAATAACATTTTTTAAACGAGTTATTGTTAAAATATAGCATTTTTTCACATTAAAGTATAATTTATTGTTGTAACTCCACTCTACAATGCTATTGATATCTTTTTGTAGCATCACACAATCTCGCACAGTTTGTATACGCTTGAATATTTTGAGGTCATCTGCATAGAGCAGACATTCTGAATAATTAATACAGGACGGTAGATCATTGATGAATAAGACAAACAGCAGGGGTCCTAGATTTGAACCCTGTGGCACTCCAGAATTTGCATGAAACTTTCCAGAGGTGTTTCCATTGTGCTTTACGACAAAGAACCTATTTTCCAAGTAACTTTTTATAATGCGCATGAAATTTACTGACAAGCCAAATTTACTAAGTTTTGTTAATAGAATGTCGTGATTAACTTGGTCAAACGCTTTGCGAAAATCAGTAAATATCGTATCTAATTGTGCTTTGTTCGCAATGGTTTCAAATACTTCATTACTGTATAGAAATAAATTACTATTGATTGATTTTTGTGTAATAAACCCGTGTTGCTGTGTAACTATAATTTTATTGGTGAAGTTGTATAATTGAATATAAATAATTTGCTCCAATAACTTAGATGGTGCACACATGATAGAAATCGCTCTGTAATTCTCTACATCCTTCTTACTACCAGATTTGAAAATTGGTGTTGTTATAGAAGTTTTCCATAACTCGGGATAGTTACCGGAACTAACTATTAAGTTATATATATGAATTAAGGGTATTTTCAACCACTCATAGCAACCTTTAAGAATATACGGTGGTATTCCGTCTGTACCCGCTGACTTTTTGGGTTTTAGTTTTTTAATTGCTTCATTGTAATAATTTTCATTTATCGAATGAAAATGAAATGTATCATTAGATATGTTAATATTATAGTCAAATGCCATATTATAAGTAGATTTCTCTTGACAATAGACAGACGCAAAAAAAAGTGCAAAAGTTTCTGCAGTTTTTCCAGCTGGTACAATCACCTTCTTATAAGTGAAGTTATCTAAATCTGTTTTGTTATTTCTTTTATTATTTATGTAGTTCCAGAATTGGTTTACATCATCCGTAATATTTTTTTCAATATTTTTAATATACTCCCTTTCTTTCCTTCTAATTATTGTGTTCGTTTTCCTTCTAAGTTCTTTGTATCTATCATTATAAAATTCAGTCATATGGATTGATGATTCAAATACAGAGGAGAGCACAAAAAAACGGTCAGTTGCTGTATCTTCTGAAACATACAATCAAATTGTTCATTTATCGCCAAAACAATTTGCGTTCTATCACTTCCGGTTTCACCGGAAACGACCCCATCTTGATTTTCAAATGGAACACCCTGCTCTATTTTCTAATAAATTACAATGCTTGAGTGAATTAAAGAATAAGACATATTATATTCTGCTCTTTGTCTTTTCAATTTCCCTGATAGCGCATGATTGTCAGATACGATATTAGAGGTTAACCCACCAATTTCCAAAATCTGATCTCGAATAATTCAGAAGTTACAGTACTGGCCGTTTTTTGTCTTCTTCTCTGTATGTCGATATGATTTCTAAATTATTTTCTTTGGTTCGTCACTCAGTCACAATTTTCGGATTTAGCTCGATTTTGTTTTGGAATTTGAAAATCAACCAATTATTGCATTTTCACGTACCTTTCCATGGCGATGATTTGTTGTTTCTGGTGCTGATAATGATACATTTGAGCGGACTGAGCCAAACGCCTGTCTCCAGAAGGTGACAAATCTTTATTTGGTCCAGTAATACCGTAGGCAGGATAATCGACATCTTGTGCATTTTTCACATGCTTCCGTAAACTGGAATATGGAAACAAAATCAGCATGTAGGGTACAGGGCACGCCAAAAAGAATATCTGTACGATTTACTGTGTTTGGGTTTAGATAACTTAAATAACTCATTTGATACTTCAAGGAAGATCCCTTGGGTGAAACGGGGCAGGTGGGATGAAAACTGAGGAGACATGAGGCAGGTCATTCATAATAGGTGAGTGGACTAAATTTTTTATTTATTAAATAGAATCATCACTCAAATACCTTTCAATTTCATATTTTTCAAGAATTTTCCGGTTGATTTTTAGGTGCTGAAATTATCAATCATGCCACGGTAATTTTCAAACGGCTAGAAATTTACCGTAAGTAACTTGATTGAATGCCAATAATTCATTATCACTCCACTCGCCCAGTAGTGGTTTGATTGCAATGTAATTTAAATGTGTCTCTATCAATCAGAATCCGATATAAAGGGTGTCAATTAATTGAGTGCGGATAATACAAGATGTGAATCCTCCTAGTTTTTGAGCGACAGAGTGTTGAAATCAGAGGCGTCAATCAAAACATTCGATATTAGACCTTCGTGAACATCACTGGTACAAGTGAAAAAAAAAAACGATTTTCGTCCCAAAACAAAATGCGTTCCACTCATAGTGGGTGCCTATTAAATTTTAAGAAAATATCAAAAAGCAATCTCAATGAACCGAAGAAACAGTAATTTTCCTTAAAATATCAGAGAGTGATAAAAAACTCAGTTTTTTCTTGAAATTTTACCACCCTGTAACTCATAAACTAAGAGGTTTAGGACCTATGGTGATGAAAACTATTCTCCTTCAAATCAGCTGAGGATTCACACCTTGTATTATCGGCACTCAATTATCAACAATTGTTCCTCCCTTGGCAGTCCCCGCGAGATTATCCCGTCGAGTTAAGGCTTCCTACCCCTTCTTGGTCACTTTGGAGACCTGCAGAACATCTCTTTCCGAAGACTTGTTCATCCAACGAACAGTGGGGCTCTGGAACACATTGCCAAGGGAGGTGTTCCCCGAGGCATATAACCTCCAGAAGTTTAAGAAGATCACCAATTCCTACCTCATTTCCCTTGGTTACCACGTTGTTCTCTGAACATTACAGGATATCCCTTTTCGTGGGAACCAGAACAAAAATTAACACCCTGTATCTATAAAAAATATCAGTTCTCAGGCAATGATTCCGCAGAGTTATCCCCACCACTCGCGATTTCATTCATTTATCCGTTTTTGGCGTTTATCATTATTGGAATATATTTTCAAATGATTTATCAATGAATCGCGGTATCGTTATTCAGTCTGAGGATGCAACACTCACTTATACCATCCGATCCCGACGGCGATGAGCCCCACCGTGGCCGCTGCGCTGATCCCCGCAACCACCGCGATCACGTACACTTCGGCCGTGTCGACGTTCGTCTCGCTGGGCTGGATCGCCACCAGCTCCACGCCCCGCCCTGTCAGGGCGGAGGCGGGGCCATCGGAGGTGTGATCGGACGTCTCGTCGAATCGCAGCTCGCTGCGCCGGTCCGCCTGCAAGGGCGTGTCTGGGGGCGGGGTCGGCTCGGGTTCTCGGTTTGGTGCAGAGTCTGAAATTAAATCAAATAACCATGACTTTCGGTATGGACGCAATTTCAGACCAACCATAAATATTCTAGCTATGGCAGTCTATTTGAATGTCTGTATCCTTCTTTATAGGCGACTGAGATTAAGATCGTAGCGCCAGAACGGCGAATGTCGGTACTACTCTATGGGCCATTGGCGGATTGTTTACATTGTTTGGTAATGGTGTTGATGTTCATTTTGTTTCGAGTTTTCAAACGTTCAGCTTTGTTATTTGTCTTTTTTCGAATTTTGTATTTTCCAGTGGTCTATTGTGTTTCGATTGAGGACTATATTATCTCTGTTCAACATAAGATAACCTAACTACCTCTAGTTGAACTTCATATATACTAACATACATAAGCTGTAAGTTTTCATCATTATTGAACAAGAATTTTCACGAAAACCTGTGTGGGATGTTGATTTTCAATTCGAATATATGGCTAGGATATTACCCTGATAACATGATATTATGATATTTTCAAAAGAAAATCCAGCATACTTTTGGGAATAAAATGTTCTTTCGAATGTGAATTTAGGTATATACTGTCTGTAGGTTAATCGAGGAGGTGGTACATTCATTTTACTTGTTTCTTTGGGATTTTCTCTCCTCGTTTCTATAAAATAAAAGTATTCGTATTATTTCAATATATTTGTAGAGGGACAAATCAGATGATTTGCCCCAAAATGTCACTGCGTTTAACAAATTTTTCTATCAGGGAGTCTAAAAGAAAAATCCAGTAGCTTGTCAGTGACAATTTGTTTGAAAAAATGTTTGAAGGAAAGAAATATAGATGGATATATATATATATATGCCAACATCAGTATGACACTGAAAAGTGTCAAACTATATACGCAGCACAACTTTCAAAGAAAAATAATTTGCATTTACATGTTGAGAACGGGAGCAGAATCGGTCCCGAAACGTCCAAAGATAAGTACAAATTCGATATTTTTTCAATATATCCATCTATATTTCTTTCCTTCAAAAATTTTTTCAAACAAATTGTCACTGACAAGCTACTGGATTTTTCTTTTAGACTCCCTGATAGAAAAATTTGTTAAACGCAGTGACATTTTGGGGCAAATCATCTGATTTGTCCCTCTACAAATATATTGAAATAATACGAATACTTTTATTTTATAGAAACGAGGAGAGAAAATCCCAAAGAAACAAGTAAAATGAATTTAGGTATATATTTTCTACTTTACTTTTTACAACACAATCATCAAAAACCTGATGTATAAAATTCTTAACTGATTAATAATTGTTCTGTTCATGAGTTAAGATATAAAAAGTTTAAAATTTATTTGTCTTTTTACCATTACTCCAAGAAGTAGGTATTATATTCCTAATAGGCATACATTTGGAAATATATATCATTAAATCATCAGTGAAGTGTAAAAAACAATCTCTCATTATGTTCAGACACTTTTTCCAATCTTTAAGGAATGAATCCACACCTTTATCCTATCGATCACTTCCTTGTTTCTCAAATTATTAGTTCCAAATACAAATTTGGACTGTCCTGATTTCGGAAAGGTATGAAAGCTATATTCGGAATTTTTTTGCTCAAGATGATCAATGAGGTACACAACAATAATGATTCATGTTTTTAAACGTTTATAGAAGTTCTCAAACACAATTTATAGACAATTAAAACAACTAATTCTCATACAAAACACACGCAAACTAATTTAAACAAAGCAATCAATGGCCCATACGTTAGTTAGATTAGATTTACCTACTACATTGATTCATGTTTAGGATAACATCATTGAATACAGAACTTTCAGTATACTGAGGTGAGACGAAATGTCTTCATTGGCTTTATAATATGGCGGATTAATACTTTTGGGACTCCAACTAACAGGTGTGTATAAAAACACCATCGACAATTCGATTCAGTATATCATTCTGTGGAAGTTTTGGTGGAAAATCACTTGGAGAATGATAAAAAAGTTCATTGTGGCCGAATTTGAACCTGGGAGCTTCGACGTGACATCAATGAAACTTCTCTCTCGAAAAAACACGTCTTTGAGAAAATAGAGATATTTGTATCTAGAAGGCAGCCGTGTGGACGTTCGTCTCGCTGGGCTGGAACGCCACCAGCTCGACGCCACGCCCTCTCAGGGCGGAGGCGGGGCCATTGAAGGTGTCATCGGACGTTTCGTCGAATCGCGGCTCGCTGCGTCGGTGCGCCTGCAAGGGCGTGTCTGGGGGCGGGGTCGGCTCATTGAATAACAAAAAGTAGCTATGTGGGTATCATTTTATTTTGTCCCTTGCTATACGTTGCTAGTTTATTGGTACAATAAATCAAATGTTAAAATACAGGATGTTCCATTAAGAAATATATATTTTGTTTGTGTCGTATCTCCAAAACCATAACCTTGAACTGTTCAAAATCGTATCTCATAAACGGAAACAGTTATATGAAAGATCTGATTAGGCCATCTCGAGTTTCACTAAAAACTAGGACAGGAACGTAAAAACCGCAAGGTTCTCTTTTTTTCATCTCGCACGAAAGGAAATTTCTATGAAGTTCGAAGAACATCGTGCGTACCTAGGGAGGATAGGGAGAGGAGGTAGGTGTTGAGTTTTTTCAACTTTTGGAGATTAAAAGTTCTTGGGAATACTTCCATTGGCAAAGAATTCCAAAGTTTTGCCGTTCTATAGATTGACGAAAGAATGTGTTGACTGGGCTTGTCGAGTTCGTCTGACTGGTATTGCTAGTGATGGAATGATATAGCAGGTAATTCTAAGAAACATTTTCCATGAAAGTATCTGAACAAAAGTGAAAGGTTGCCGACTTTTTTACGGTGTTCTAATGAGGTCAAAGGATTGGTGAGTGTGGCATCACGTACGAGGCGAATGTTTTAATATAAGAACAATCGAGAAACTTGATGGCAGTATCAACTAAAATCTTATGTACTGTACATTGACGGGTGGTAATCAACAAGAATTCAATAGAATAGTGCTTTATTGTACCCTGTCATCATATTTTCTACACACACTGGCACAATTAGGGGAACGGGCAAAATTTACACTAAGTTTGACATCAATTTTCTTTCGAACCGATCGCTCGATTCAAATTTTTTTCTTCACGAAACGTAGCTTCATTCTTCAAGAATACATCTGAGAAATAATTACCTTCAAACGATGAGTCTCTCCATCATATACAGGGGTGTGAAGAAAGTACGGATTTTTTGGTATTTTTTTAGACATCCTGTGGACTGAACCACTGATAATTGAAACGATTTCTCAACACCAAATTGGAGCCCAATCTATTCCGAATATTTTCGTTTTTCATTCATCTTGATATCTCAATTATTCAAGAAAATACAGAGTTTCAAAGGAAAGGTGGATATTGGTATCAATTTTACACCTCAAAACTCAAATTGGATCTGAAAATGTGTCGTTTCTTGACTAACCTAACCTAACCATGACTAAACCTCTGCCATAGGAGACAGAAGCTGTAAAATCAAATTGTTCATTTTGTTCACCTCGGCGATATAGTCTTTCCCTGCCATCTATTGAATTGGTGCAGATGCGGCTCTCATATGTTGAAAGAACATTGGCACACTGGTCATTTTCAAATCTCTCACGTTGAATTTTCATTAATCAAATTTATGAATTGTGAATCGCTTGACTTTGACAATAATTAATGACATTAACAAAATAGCCAACGTTGATTAACAAAAATAGCATTTCACCAAAAGAACATTGGAGCAACTTTCATCACCCTTGCATATTCATGAGAGTGTTCGTATATGTGTCTTTAAACAGTAAACCGATAGGTAAAACTGTGAACAATTCTCATCTGGAAGTAAAAATCCTCACAGAAACAAGTTGAAAAACGACACGTTCTCCCCAGTTCGAGTTTCGAGGTGGTAAAATTAATACCAATATCCACCTCTTCTTTGAAACTCTATATTTTCTTGGATAATTGGAATATCAAGATGAATAAAAAACGAAAATATTCGGGATAGATTGGGCTATAATTTGGTGTTGGAAAATCGTTTCAATCATCAGTGGTTCACTCCACAGGATGTCTTAAAGAATACCGAAAAATCCGTACTTTCTTTACACCCCTGTATATGATATAAAGACGAATCGTTTGGAGGTGGTTATTTCTCAGATGTATTCGTGAAGAATGAAGCTACAATTCGTGAAAAACAAATTTGAATCGAGTGATCGGTTCGAGAGAAAATTGATGTCAAACTTAGTGTAAATTTCACCCGTTCCCCTAATTGTGCCAGTGTGTGTAGTTTCAACTGTGATTTATAGAGAATCCTTGCCTTTTTCGTTTGCTCCATTGCTTCTGTAGAATCTCGGGTCCGGTGGGACATACGCAAATTCCGTCGGATTTTCCGCGGTTTTCACGTCCTTGAAACGCCCTGGAGACACCTGCTCGCCTTCATTCTCGACATCCTGATGGATCACGTGATGCTCATCATTTTCCCCATCGGGTCCATTTTCGTCACCATCCGACCGCAGAGCATCTATAACAATAACAATAATTTGATATAAGTAATTATCAATTAGAATCAACCTCTAGCAGCAGAAGTATTACCGATAATTTTTTTCAAGGTCACGAATGTCTCCATGCATATTGATCTAGTGAAACTTTTCATAGCCTAGACAGAAAAATATTTCGACTATAATTAATTATTATAATTATATATAGGTTTGTTTAATCTATGATATATAATATACAGTGTGTCCACCTTAAGGATTTACCACCCCTGTAAAATTGTTATTATCTGACCGATTTCAAAAAACGTTTTTTTGTTGGATAGGTATTTGAAATGTCCATCCAACAAGAGAGTGATTTTACTCATGAACTGTAATCGTGGCCAACTGCGACCAACTTCATTGACCCATATTTGAGAAAGTACTATTAGAGATTTTTTTTCACAAAAAACAATGATGGATTTTGAATCACGATCACTTGAAAAACACCTTTACTGATTTTTATCATCATAAAACACAGGGTGTCCGAAAAAACGAATTATGCTTTTTTTAATAGGTGATCAGAAAATGTAGTATTGTGGTATTTTTGAGAAGAATTGATGACAAATTATTATTGAGGATCACTTCGAACATATCTGTACCGATTTTCATCATTCAAAAATAGGATGTGTATGAGAAAACAATTAAAAAGAAAAAGTAGGCAATATTTTTAATTTTAATTTCATTTTTCGAACACCCTGTGATAATGATGATGAAAATCGGTACAGGTATGTTCCAAGTGATCCTGATTCATCTTTTTATTTTGAGTGAAGAATTATCAGGATGAAAAATATTGCTTACCTATCCTTTTTAATTTTTTTCTCAGACACATTGTATATTAAAATGACGAAAATTGGTACATATTTGAAATAATCCTCAATGATAATTTGTGATTATTTCTTCCTAGAAAAAACACAGAACTACATTTGCTGATCACCTATTTGAAGAAAATGATGATTCGTTTTTTCGGACACCCTGTGTTTTATGATGATGAAAATCGGTGCAGGTATATTTCAAGTGGTACTGATTCAGAATCCATCATCAAGTTTCGTGGAAAAAAAATCCCTAATAGTACTTTCTGGAATATGGGTCATTGAAATTTGTCGCAGTGGGTCACGATAACAGTCCAAGAATTAGATCACTCTCTCGTTGGATGGGAATTTCAAATACCTATCCAATAAAAAAGGGTTTTTTGAAATTGGTCGGATAATAACGATTTTACAGGGGTGGTAAGTCGTTAAGGTGGACACACTGTATATTATATTAATTATAATCTTCAGTTAATCACATACACTTATAAATTGCATTCTATTTCGGCACGCTCTGTTTAAATTAATTTTACAAAATGAGTAATAAATTAACATACATATTAAATGTACAGGGTGAACAACTAAAAACGGCTGTCGGCCATATCTCAGCAACGAATAATGATACAAGTTTGAGATAAAATGAATCTAATGGTATGCATATCATCACACGATGAGAGAAACTAAATCTCAATAGACCAACGAAAACCGCAACATGATAGCTTTTCGCCAACGGAAGATATCAACTATCAAAGTTGGAAGAATGATAGATATGACAGCCGTTCTTAGTTGTTCACTGGGTACTATAATGATATGTTGATATGTATAAAGCAAAAAAGAACAATACAATAATCTGATTCTGATAGACTTCAATTGTTTATATACCTCTGTTATAACAGTTCGTTTCGTTTTGTATTTTTTTTGTTCATTTTCACTTCTCGTTCCTTTTTTTATATTCTGTGATATTTGTGAGTATTGATGAATTGAGAATTAGGAATATGATTATTTTTGTATGAGAATGTTTGTTTTGTTTACGAATGCAGAAGTTACAGGGGTGGCCGATACCCTCTGTGTCACCCAGTATATCTTCGAAAAGCGTTTAGCATTTATGTTTTGAATCGAAAAAATATAGTGTTCAATTAAAAAAACACAACTTTATATTTATAATAATGACAGCTCATTTCAAAAATCTGACTATGCCACTGGATTCATGGATTCGAATGATTTCCGTAAAAAAGTGTGTAGGATTTTCTATAGTTGAAAGGTACCTGAGATACAGGGGAGGTTCCAAAATGCAATATTGTCAATTTCCAACTTCATAGCGAGCTATGCAAATCCTTTGCGTTATCGTGATTTTCACGAAAAAAAGTGACAAACGTTTGCGTAAACCGCAAATCTATCTTCAAAAATAAGTAAGATGTAATAGTAGGAGAGCCGACTGCAGATTTCTACCGTCCTAAAGGAAAGTAAAAACATCGTAGTTCATCGAACGACACCTGTGTCAATCACTATGCTGAGCAAAATGATGACAAAATTGCACGTTCCTGTGCGGAAATTTGCACTCGATTTCGCGATTTGAAAATATCGAAACGTGCCGCGATTCAAATTGATTTAAGTTATTGGCAGAGTGTCAATATTTCCGTGAATATTTCACCCTCATCGAAAGATAATAGCCGATGGACCAGTGTGAAACTCGTGTAGTGCTCACACTACAAGTATTCTAATCCACAATTTTTTTTTTCATGTTCTGGTTCCCGCGAAAAGGGATATCCTGTAATGTTCAGAGAACATCGTGAGAAGCAAGGGAAATAAGGTAGGAATTGGTGTTCTTAAATTTCTGGAGGTTGAATGCCTCGGGGAACACCTCCCTTGGCAATGTGTTCCAGACCCTCGCTGTTCGTTGGATGAACGAGTCTTCGGAAAGAGATGTTCTGTAGGTTTCCAAAGTGACCACGAAGGGGTGCGAAGCCTCAACTCGACGGGCTAATCTCGCTGGGACTGCCAAGGGAGGAACACTTGTTGATATTTCAGAAGAGCATCGTCCATGAAAATATCTATAAAATAGAGCCAGATCGCCAACTTTTCTACGGTGTTCCAGAAAAGTGAGTGAGTTTGTGAGCAAGGCATCACCCACGAGACGAATTGCCCTTTTTTGGACAGAATCCAACAGTTTCAGGGTATGTTTGGGTGCTGCACTCCAAATATGGGACCAGTATTCCAGGACAGGTCGGATTTGTGCCTTAAAGATCATAAGCAGCCGACTGGAAGTGAAATAGCTCCTGGCCCGAAACAGGAAACCATTTTTTGGGATGCACTTTTAGCAGTTAATCTCACGTGATTTTCCCCAGACAGGTTATTGCTGATGATAGTAATACTAAGCATCGAAATGGATGTCTTCAAAGGTATGGTTACTCCTGACAAGCTCAATAGGGGACAGTGAGAGTTCTAGAGAAAAGGCATGCTTGTGTTTTGTTTGCATTGAAATCCACCAAGTTATTGGATCCTCATTCGAGAATTGTTGCCAAGTCCAAATTTATGTTGTCAACATTTCTCCCTCGTTCGTTTCTGATTTGCCTGGCTGGTATTGGAGCCCTGGAAGAGAAGGCGGTATGGAGGGTACTATCATCCGCGAAGCTGTACACTGGACATAAAGTTGCTTCCAACAAATCGTTGATATGGAGTAGAAATAGTTTTGGTGCTAGAATTGATCCTTGCGGAACACCAGCATTTATGGTAAGAGAATCAGATGAAACTCCGTCGATCACTACATGGAGAGACCTGTTTGAGAGAAAACTAGCTAGCAGAGAACATAGCTGGGGAGGCAAGCCATAAGATGGAAGCTTGGCGAGGAGTCAGTGGTGCCAGACTCGATCGAATGCCTTGGAGATATCAAGTGCCACGGCTAAGGTTTCACCATATTTTTCAATAGATTGCTGCCATACATGTGAGATGTAAAGCGAGCAGGTCACCAGTTGATCTTCGATGACGAAAGTGATATTGCCTATCGTTGATAATACCTGAATGTTCCAGGTATTTACTCTCTGCCACTAACTTAGATCAGTTTGAATCGCGTCACGTTTGGATATTCGCAAAGGCGACATCATCCCCTTTTATTTGCTTCTTGTTTCAACTCTTATCACATGACGGAAGTATGTCCGGAATAATAGCAGCAAATAAATCGCTGTGCTGTGAATTGGGCTCAGTCTGAGTGATGGCACAGGTAGGTTTTTGAAATCTACCATTCAATTGGTATTGGACTGCATAATTCTTATCTCGTTATCAAATCGCGAAATCGAGTGAAAATTTCCGCACAGGAAAGTGCAATTTTTCAATCATTTTGTTCAGGATAGTTATTGGCACAGGTGCCGTTTGATAAACTACAATGGTTTTACATGCCTTTGGGGCATATACCGGGTGTAACATCACCATGGAACACCCCCTTTTTCTCCTTTAGTTTCAGAGATAAGTGATTGAAATTCGAAATGACCCATCGACTTAGATTAGATTAGATTTAGAATAGGGCCTTCGGGCTATCTGCCTCCACACCGCGACCTTTTCAGATCTATTGTGTCTGCCCTCAAAATCGATTAGAGTTCTTCGGCTAGCCCCGTCTTCTCTATGAGACTCCATAGGCTAGCTTTCAGATCCCCTGTGTATCTCTGGGCTTCTGGTTTTTCCTCACCCAGCGTAAGGAACCTTAGTCTTGACAAGCCCTCACAGTGGCAAAGTATGTGTACTGCTGTTTCCTCCTCTTCCTGACAGAACCTGCACAGCAGTTCTTCAGTCAGACCTATCGTACTCATGTGTTTGTTGAGCCTACAATGCCCTGTGAGAAGTCCCACTAGTATTCTAGTTGAACTTCGTTTCTGGCTTAGTAGATATTCTGTGAATGTTGGCGATGGTTTTTTAATAAACTCTTTTGCCTGTCTCATTCCTGGCGATTTGTTCCACCATTCTTGAGATTTGGTTTGCATCCATGATTTGATACTAGTCTTTTGTATAGCTTTCGCAATACCACAGAAGGGTTCTGGGCCATTCAGAGCTTTGTTTGCTCCTGCTCGGGCAAGTGAGTCTGCCTCTTCATTGCCCTCGTACCCTGTATGTGCTGGTACCCATGCTAGAGTCAGTCTGTTCTGACTGCCCAGTGCATTTAGGGTTTCTAAGCAGTCCCATACTAGTTTTGAGTTAACTTGCATAGAGTTGACTGCTTTGATTGCCGCCTGGCTATCTGAATAGATTGCAATGGTTTTGCCTTTAACTCTTGCCTTATCAATTCTTTCACGCAATGATGTATTGCAATAATTTCTGCCTGAAACACCGTCGCGTATTTACCTAAGCTCAGTGAGATTCTTGTCTTTGGCTTGGCCCCATAAATACCAGCTCCTGATCCAAACTCAGTTTTGGAGCCGTCCGTATAGACAGCAATGTCTGCATTAATAGGAGGTCCTTCCTTCCATGCCTCTCTGTCCGTTATACTTATTTTAAAAGTTTTTTCAAAGCTATATTTTGGAATTATGCCATCCGTTGGCATCCCCATGATGGGGTCGCTTTCCAACTCTTCATATAGCTTCCTATAGTCTTTACCATGCGCGTTGCTTATGGGTGCTTGACATCTTGGCAATCTACTCACGACTGCTCTGGCTTCGCCTTGAATATATATTTGTAGTGGTGGTAGGTTCAAGAGGACCTCTAAAGCGGCTGTTGGAGTGGTTTTCATTGCACCAGTGGCACTCAGGCAAGCTTGCCTTTGAATAGCACTGAGCCTTCGAATCACTCCAGCCTGTTGTGTCTTTGGCCACCAAACTACTGACCCATATGCTATCATAGGCCTGATGACGCTGGCAGAGAGTCATCGACTTGATAAACGTCAAATGTTGACACGAATATGTTTCAATTTCCACTTTCGGTTTCACCGGAGGAGGTATTAACTTTTGATTTTTAAATGGAACACCCTGTATATCATTGCATTTTCGAATTCTGCATCATTTTCTGAATTCAATGATAGCAAATAAGTAACATTTCAAACTTCATTATTGATTCTGATTTCATTTTTGATTTTCCATCTAAATGTGCCTTGACTATTCTGATTGAGTCTGATGTGTAATGCTAAAAAGAAATTGAATCATGTCAAAAATGGTCAAATTCCTTGATTTATCGCCAAATTGAGTTCGTCAAAATGGTTTGGTGTACAGGGTGATTCACCATAAATGTCCCCCCCTCTAGCTCACTTATTTTTGAACCGATTTAAAAATTTGAAAAATAATCTAAAATGATCTTTCAGAAATTTTTTCCTGTTGCATCAGAAAATACAGGGTGCTCGGAATAAACGATCTTCAGAGTACTACTTGATGGAACACCCTGTATTTCATTGTATTTTTAGAATCTTCCTGAAGAGCTGATTTCATCAATACATCACACTTGGGGTCTAGCGGGAATGATTACAGTGATATAGGGTGATCAAAATCGAGATTCTTTAACTTTAGGATTTTTTTGTGTCGAAACTATTCATTATTGGTCAAAACGGCTCCTATGTCCTTATCTCATCTTTTGATTTACTATCTACTGACATTTAATTGAAACATTTACAGGGTGGTTCAAGATTCGGAATTCTGATAACCCTGTATCTGTTCCAATTATTAAATGTCAGTAGATAGTAAATCAAAAGATGAGACACGGAGATGAGAGCCGTTTTGACCGATAATGAATAGTTTCGTCACAAAAAAATCCTACAGTTGAAAAATCTCGATTTTGAACACCCTATATTTCTGTAATCATTCCCGTGAGACCCCAAGTGTGATGTATTGATGAAATCAGCTCTTCAGGGAGAATCTAAAAATACAATGAAAAATCGGGTGTTCCATTTAAAAAAATCAAATAGTACCCTGTAGATCGTTTGTTCCGAGCACCCTGTATTTTCTGATGTAGCGGAAAAAAACTTTATCGAAAATCATTCAAGATAATATTTCAAACTTTGAAATCGGTTCAAAAATAAGTGAGCTAGAGGGGGGGGACATTTATGGTGAATCACCCTGTACCATCATCCTGTGACACCCGGTATATCATTTCGTTACCAGATGACGGTCGAAATTTGCAGCCGGCTCTTGGACTATAAAGAAATCGAAAATGGGACACCCTGTATAGTGTATTATTACCTATCGATTGTAATTCCAGCAGATTTTTTTGAGCGTTCCTGAACAGTTTTTCCGGAAACAAGTCCATGCCGTCTTTTCCATCGATATCCAATTCCTCGTTTCCATTCTGATACTCGAAATCAGGTCTCGGATGGTACATCTTGGGTTCGCTCAGCACGGGAAAGCCGTCTTTGTCGATGATGTATTTCGGTCGAAACACGTCGTGGTGTTGGCGGTTCTTGTGATAGTTGCGCACCTTGTACTGTTTCCAATCGACATCTTCCCTATAATGATTCATTCTTTCATTTTTGCTACACCTTTTAAAGTAAGGAAGTACATAATTATATACCTATAGGAAGACATATAGCATCATTCAAAATACATCAACAACTGTAAATTGGCAAACAAAGAATAATATTTGTAAAAAAATAAAAAAAAAAATTTCAGAATTCCGTATCAAAATAATATTCGACTTCAATTTTTTATTTATATTATATGATATTTTATGAGTTTCAATTCTATACAGGGTGGGCCACCAGTAACGCCTCGGTCTCTAGAAGGCTAACCACTTATCTTCTTGGAATTCTTCCTCTCTATTAAGTTGCATGTCAACATAGGCTACCATTTGAAATTATTTCAAAACATACAGGGTGTCCCCAAAAACCGCAAAATACTATAGTTGAACTTTTTTCAATCGAACACCCTATATATTATTTCATTGAGATTCTCCCTGGTGAGCTGATTTCAACAATCCATCATACTTGGGGTCTAGCAGTTATAATTACTGAAATATAGGGTGTGAAAAATCGAGATTTTCCAAGTTCAAGAATTTTTTGTGTCTAAACCATTCATAATTGGTCAAAACGGCTTACATATCCCTATCTCAACTTTTGATCAACTATCTACTGACATTTAATTGAAACAAATACAGGGTGGTGCAGAATTCAGAATCTTGATCACCCGGTATATGTCCCAATTAAATATCAGTAGATAGTTAATCAAAAGTTGAGATAGGGACATGTAAGCCGTTTTGACCAATTATGAATAGTTCAGACACAAAAAATTCTTGAACTTGGAAAATCTCGATTTTTCACATCCTATATTTCAGTAATTATAACTGCTAGATCCCAAGTAAGATGGGTCGTTGAAATCAGCTCATCAGGGAGAATCTCAAAATGAAATAATATATAGGGTGTTCGATAGAAAAAAGTTTAACTTCAGTGTTTTATGGTTTTTGGGGACACCCTGTATGTTTCGAAATAATTTTAAATGGTAGCCTATGTTGACATGCAACTTCCTAGAGAGGAAGAATTCCAAGAAGATAAGTGGTTAGCCTTCTAGAGACCGAGGCGTTACTGGTGGCCCACCCTGTATATTTCATCTAAAGAATACGTATTTGCTATTTCATAAGTAGTGTTTCGAAAATCGTTAAGTCAATTTCAGAAAGCGTACCTATGTTATATTTCAGAATATTCAATTTAATTCTCGAAATCGTCAATTGTATTTTATAATAGTCGATCAAATTTTAGAAAGCGTCAGTTGTACTTTAGAATAGTCAATTGTATTTTATTTCAGTAAGCTTCAGTTGTAGAAAAAGAACAGTCAATTGAATGCCAGTATAGTCAATGGAATGTCAGAAAACGTAAATTATTGTTTTTCAGAATAGTCAATAGAGTTTCAAAATGCGTCAATTATTGTTTCACATAATAGTGAAATGAGTTTCAGATAGCTTCAATAATAATTGTAACTTAGAATAGTCCCTGGTACTTCAGGAAGCGTCAATTATATTTCATAATAATGATCAAATTTTAGAAAGCTTCAGTTGTATTTCAGAACAACCAATTGAATGCCAGAATATTCAATGGAATTTCAGAAAGCGTCAGTTGAATGCCATGATAGTCAATGGAATTTCAGAAACCGTCATTTGAATGCCATAATAGTCAATGGAATTTCATGAAGCGTCAATCATTGTATTTTAGAAGAGTCAATGGAGTTTCAGAATGCGTCAATCAAATTCAGAATAGTCGAATGAGTTTCATATAGCCGCAATAATAGTAATTTAGAATAGTCACTTGTACTTCAAAAAGCGTGAATTCTATTTCATAATAATTAATCAAATTTCAGAAAGCGTAAGTTGTACTTTAGAATAGTCAATTGTATTTTATTTCAGAAAACATCAATTATTGTTTTTCAGAATAGTCAATAGTGTTTCAAAAAGCGTCAATTGTTTTTCAGAATAGTCAAATGAGTTTCAGATAAGCGTAAATTATTTCTCAGAATAGTCGAATGAGTTTCAGATAGTTTCAATAATAATTGTAGCTTAGAATAGTCACTGGTACTTCAGAAAGCGTCAATTATATTTCATAATAATAATCAAATTTTAGAAAGCTTCAGTTGTATTTCAGAACAGCCAATTGAATGCCAGAATATTCAATGGAATTTCAGAAAGCGTCAGTTGAATGCCATAATAGTCAATAGAATTTCAGAAACCGTCATTTGAATGCCATAATAGTCAATGGAATTTCATGAAGCGTCAATTATCGTATTTTAGAATAGTCAATGGAGTTTCAGAATGCGTCAATCATATTCAGAATAGTCGAATGAGTTTCATATAGCGTCAATAATAGTGATTTAGAATAGTCACTTGTACTTCAAAAAGCGTCAATTATATTTCATAATAATCAATCAAATTTTAGAAAGCGTCAGTTGTACTTTAGAATAGTCGATTGTATTTTATTTGAGGAAGCTTTAGTTATATTTTAGAAAAGTCAATTGAATGCCCGAATAGTCAATATAGAGTTTCAAAAAGCGTCAATTATTTTTCAGAATAGTCAAATGAGTTAGAATAGTCACTGGTACTTCAGGAAGCGTCAATTGTATTTCATAATAATCAATCAAATTTTAAAAAGCGTCAGTTGTACTTTAGAATAGTCAATTGTATTTTATTTCAGGAAGCTTCAATTGTATATCAGAACAGTCAATTGAATGTCTGAAGAGTCAATGGAATTTCAGAAAGCGTTATTTGAATGTCATGATAGTCAATGGAATTACATGAAGCGTCAATTTTATTGTATTTCAGAATAGTCATTGGAATTTCAAAAAGCGTCAAAAATAATTTTAATTTAGAATAGTCACTGGTACTTCACAAAGTGTCAATTGTATTTCATAATATTCAATCGAATTTTAGAAAGCCTCAGTTGTATTTTAGAATAGTCAATGGAGTTTCAGAATGCGTCAATCATATTCAGAATAGTCAAATGAGTTTCAGATTGACGCTATCTGTATAATATAATTGTAATTTAGAAATGGTCACATGTATTGAAGCGCCAATTGTATTTCATAATAGTCAATCAAATCTTAGAAAGTGTCGGTTGTATTTTGAAGTAGTCACTTATATGTATAACTGCAAGAAGTAATCGTATTTCAGAATAATCTCTTGTCCTTCAGAAATCGTCAATAATTGTATTCCAGAATAGTCAATTGGATTTCAGAAAGCGCCATTCGTATTTCAAAGGGCATAAATAATATTCAAGAATATCCCATTGAATTCAGGAATGCAACAATTGTATTTCATAATAGCAAGTTAAATTTCATTTCAGATAGCGTCAATAAAATTCTAGGTCAAGTCAAGATAGATTGAAAATGGCTATAACAGCATACAAATTTACAATGACCTATAATGACGTTTAGGAGTGATCCTTTCTGTGTAGGGGTCTCTCTCCGGGAAGGGGTCGTATTCCGGGAGGCCCCTCCTAGCTTCCAGTTCTTCTAAATCTTCTAGGTTGGCGTTCTGGAAGGGGAAGTATTCTCTGCTTTCGTATTCCCGGAGTCTGTTCCTAGAGTCTTCATCGCTGAAGTCGAATTTCAGACCTAAACATGATACATTGATTTTTTAAATAACGACTTCAAGATATTTTTATATAAAAATACTGAGTTAGAATTTTTCAGCTTTCATTCCATTTGGAAAAATCAACTCGATGTTGAATTTTTCTTGCAAGTTTTCATATCAAAAAGTTCATCTTGCATATGGTTTTTGCAGACTGATTATGGAGAGTGGGGTACCTACTTGTAATCTTCTTGATACCTTTAGATATTTGAAAGAAAATGGTCAATTTTAGAAACAACTGCTTAAGCACACTTAGGAAAATGAAGTTTCTTTCAGTCCATCATCCACAACTTGAGGAATTTATCACATGAAAATATACAGGGTGTAATTTAATTGATGGCTAAAAATATAGGATAGGGTTCCTTAGCTTATTTTAAGAAGAAAAGATCATATTATGAACATAATGCCCTAAACCTCTTGACTTCTGAACTATAGGGTGTTGAAACTAGGAAAACATTATTTTTTCTATAAATACTGTTCTAGATATTTTCATGAAAAGCAACATGCACTTACTATTAAGCACCAAGGTATTTTTTGGTGCAGAAGATTTTTTAATATTTCTACCAGTGGCGTACGTTTGGGACGTATACGGGAGATTGATAAATAGAAATCATTTTTGAAGTCCTCATTTATTCTGCAACAATTTGACTCCATGATATTTTTTCCGTCTGACGCACAGTTATAGCGCGAAAAAAACATTTTCATCCATGTGTAGGTATAACGAAATTATTTTGAAACAGTAGGAAGGGTGGTGCCCTATTTTGTATTCAAAATAATGACATTTGATCGATCACGTTGCGGTCTTATTTTAACAAGTAGGTCTTCATAAACGTGACAGTTTCTTTAATCGATAATAAAGAGAAAATACAATTTTAATTCCATTTTACGCAATGATGTATTGCAATAATTTCTGCCTGAAACACCGTCGCGTATTTGCCTAAGCTCAGTGAGATTCTTGTCTTTGGTTTAGAAAAAATATAGGCAACCCTTACGTAAATTTCTTTCATCAAACACATCGGTAGAAATTAACAAAAGTGATTTTTGAATTTTTAATTAATTGAGTATAGCCTGGCCAGGATTTTTTCAGCCAACCCATTTTTTATAATTTTGAACATACTAAATTACTTACAAGATAATTTTCATCCATTAAACAGATGGAAACAAATGAAACAAAGGGCCAAAGGGGGTATCCGCCACAGAACTCATAATCTTTAAATTTATAGATATAAAGATTATGAGTTCTGTGGGGTAGGTACCAATATTTCGAATTGTCAACTATGTTGAAGAAATGTTTCCATTTTGTTTCATGCAGCATATTACGATTGCAGCTCTCGACATCGTCTCGCGAGCTGCAAAGTTAATGCTTATCATGCAATAAAAAAGGACACTTTTTTGCACTACCTACTCTGATCATATCTACTTCCAAATCTTTCAATGATTTTTTGATTATTTATTTTTCGATTTTGACATTCAAGTCGCTGTTGCCGATTCCCAATGTAAAGTTGTTTATTCCAAATCAAATTTGTCTATTTTCAATTCGATTGTTCTGATTAACTTGAACGTTTTTATCATCTGTACCTATACCTATCGGAATATTCTCATTTCGAATTTGAAAGTATTTTAAGTAAGATTTGTGAGAGATTTTTCTTAATTTGAATGTGTTTATTAAAAGAAAAATCACTAAAGCTCTTTCCTCATACAAAATCAAATAGTCTTATTATTTATCCTTAAATTAAATTTGAAAGGATCAATAATGTCTGAATACCTCTATCGGTACACCGTGTATACTTTTACATTTCTCGAATATGTTCTTACTGATTGGCTGGTGTATATACAGGGTGTTTCCTAACTACAGTTCCTAACTGCAGGGGGTGATTCGTTAGGTCATTTTAAGAAGAAAAGTTCTTATGAACATATGTCCGGAGTTGCTTCGTAAGAAAAAAAAACGGTAATTTTAAAATATGATGAATATCCTGGAACCGATTTGTAGTCCAGTCATTATATCCAAATAACGGACCTTACCCGTGAATAATTTTTGAGTGGTTTTTTTTCATAGGTGTCTCGGGGGGGGGGTCACTGGGAGTGTAAATTCAAAATGGCGACCAAATCAAGCTTTTGCGTATGGTTTTTTATTAAAAAACGGTTTTTCTTGAATAACTCGGCCATTTTTGATTCTACAGAAAAAGTTTGGGGACAAAAATTGTAGTAAATTTGGTTCTCTACAAGTTTGGTCCTCACAATTTTTCTGATAGTATCGATCTTTTGTAAATTAAACCTGAAAAAAGCGACAAATTCGAAATATTTTCATTATCTCGTTTATTTTCAACTTCACGGCATAAATGAACAGGAACAAACTTGTAGAGAATCAAATTTTGGACAAATTTTGTCTTCACCTGTTTTTCCGAAAATCGATATTTTGGGAATTAAACCTAAAAAAAAAAAACGACTCATTCGAAATATCATCATTATCTCGTTTATTCACAACTTTACACCATAAATGAGGAGAAACAAACTTGTAGAGAATCAAATTTTGGACAAATTTGGTCTTCACCTGTTTTTCCGAAAATCGATATTTTCGGAATTTAACCAGAAAATATGTACCCATTCAGAAATATTCGCAATATCTCCTCTTTTTCAATTCTGCAGGTGCAACGAATAGGGTGAAAGTTGTATACAATAAAATGAAAATGATAATGAAAATATTTCGAATTTGTCGCTTTATTCAGGTTTAATTTACAAAATATCGATCCTATCAGAAAAATTGTGAGGAACAAACTTGTAGAGAACCAAATTTACTACAATTTTTGTCCCCAAACTTTTTCTGTAGAATCAAAAATGGCCGAGTTATTCAAGAAAAACCGTTTTTTAACAAAAAAACTAGTTTTCGAACATACGCAAAAGCTTGATTTGGTCGCCATTTTGAATTTACACTCCCAGTGACCCCCCCGAGACACCTATGAAAAAAAAACCACTAAAAAATTATTCACGGGTCAAAGTCTATAATGACTGGACTATTGGTTGAAATTTTGTACTTTCATTTGTCAAATTTTCTAAAATTTCAGCATATCAAGTGTCAATTATATTTTTGGCGGAAATAATGAAAAACTCATTTCTCCAATGCAGGTGTTCTTGATATACAATACAGTGGCTTTAATTTTTTTCTCGAAAACGAAGCTGGATATGATAAAAATAAAGGAAACCAAAAAGTTGTATTTTGAGTTGCTCAATCTAAAAAATAATAAAAATTCACCAAAAAAAGTCAGTGGCGTACTTTTTTTTACAATATTGTTGGCTGTGGTGCCCACTGAGACGCCACTGGCCCAAATTATTTCAATCTAAATAAGCGCCTTATTTTAGTTCAAATGAAAGTACCAAATTTGATCCAAACTGGTTTCAAGATATTCATGATATTTTATAATTACCGTTTTTTTTTTCTTTAATTTCAACGCCCTGTATCTCAGAAACGAAACAACTCCGGACATATGTCAATAGGATTTTTTCTTCCTAAAATGACCTAACGAATCACCACCTGCAGTTAGGAACCGTAGTTAGGAAACACTCTGTATAGGTACAATTTCTGAAATATTTATAATGTTGATATATATTTTATCGTGCGAATGTTTTGTATACCAATTAACGAAATATTTCAACAGAATAATGACTGGAAAATAAATTCCTACCATATGATTGGCAATTGATTGCTACCAAAATAAACGATTCAATATATCAAAATACATCCAGCTGGGATTATGGGGGTATAGGTAAATCTGCCCCCGCAAAAATCAAAAATTTCGGCAGCACCAAAAGCAAAAAACTCAGTTTTCTTCCTGGAAGAACCAACTCACCAGGATAAATTTCCAGATCGCCGGAAGCACAAACACTACATGACACGACAATGACAATGCACAAATAAATAATTTTCATATTGTCGAAGAATCTCTATTTCACGCCATATGTTTTCACTGTCCGAACATCTTCCTTCAAACACCGAAAAATCAATAGATCGACTGGAAAGCCATTGGACCAACGGCGTTGACGTCACCGGATTTTCAGCCAGGCAGCTTGAATTTTCGTGCATGAAAAGCGAACGCTGAAAGAAAACTGAAGTAACCGCTGAATGTAATGGGTGAAGCTCATGCGCCTATTTTTAATGTTTATCACGTTCGGTTTTGATAAGAATATCCGTTTGGAATTGAGGCATCTGTTTCACTGTTTTTAGTCGGGCAGAAGTGGATAATAGACAGCACCTGCCACCTTATACTTCAATTGATTTATTTCTATTTGTTGCCTATACAGGGTGTCCGGAAATTATTTGCAAAAAATCAACATGATAGAATAAGAAATTCATTTCATATGTACGAGGGTCCGGAAATGCAGTTTTCAACATAAGTACCTACTAGTCCAATAAATGAAGGAGGAAAAAAAGGCAAAGTCAACGTTAATTACGCACTATTTTCATCTTCCGGTTGGAAGTAGCTTTTGGTACCTCATTAAACATGAGACAAAGTTTGCCTGGAAAACGCGTGCGATGGCGGAGAAAATGGCCCCAAAAGACCAGGAAAATAGGTTTTCAGCCAATATCTCCTAAAATATGGCAGTTAGAGATTTTCGGTTCAGATAAAAATTGAAGTTCAGTTAATTTTCTACAAAAATGGTCCTTATCATTTTTCTCGAAAATTTGCCCGGTTTAGAGAAAAACGGCACGAAGCGCACCTCGAATAATGAGCTTCTGTGTTGTATGCCGGAGAGCACAGTCCGTGTATTTACACATAGGCGGGGGAACAAATTATTCAATAACTTTGTTAAAAATGCATATTTTCTCATGATTCAAAGTTCATGCGAAAGAGGAATTCTGCTGCTATCATACTCTGTGAATTGAGTCACGCTGGACTCTTTTGGCCATATCGGAACATGGGTCAAACTTTCTGCTCCCGGTCAATTTTGACCTCGCCGGGAATTTGTTCCTATTTTTGACAATGATATTTTTTGTCATGAGGGACTGATGTAGCCATAATTCAATTGGAATTATGAAATCCAGTGGCGTCCCCGGGGGCAACCTACCGAATATTATTGTCAATAAAATGTGCGCCACTGTTTCTTCATAAAACCTATTGACCAACTAAAAATACAACATCCCAGCCAACCATCGTGTGACATATCAACATCTGTGTGATGTAACAACCTTGCATAAATTCAATATCTCGTTAACACATCTTATCGACGTAGATTCGATATCAATGTTGCAAGGTGACATCGCAACCAGGAAACTATTCAATGTGGCAGCGACTTCTTCAAACTACATCTCTTCGTCGTTAACTAAATAATTCACATTGATATCCTCATGAGATATCTTTGTGACCTGTGAGTGTGAGCCCGACTCCGTACAGACTATTTCCTTCCAAATTCTCTGTTGAAATATCTGAGATGATTTATAGTACATATTATAGCAGCTTCAAATTGGAGGTATACAAACTACAAAGCACAGATACGGCCTGTTCTAGAATACTGTTCCCACATATGGGGTTCAGCACCAAAACATACGCTGATGCTCTTATATTCCATCCAGAGAAGAGCCATTCGCCTGGTGGGTGACGCCACACTCACTATCACTCTTTGACATCATTGGAACACCGTAGAAAGGTCGGCGACCTTTCACTTTTCTATCGATACTTCCACGGGAAATGTTCTTCGGAAATCTCTGCTATCATCCCTTCACTAGCAATACCAATCAGACGAACTAGACAAGCCCAGTCAGCACATCCTTTCGTTGTCAACCTCGAAAGATGTCGAACAGCACTTTATCAAGACTCCTTCATCCATAGAACGGCTGGGCTCTGGAATTCATTGCATGTGGAAGTATTGCCAACAACATATAATCTCCAAAAGTTCAAAAAAAATTCCAATACCTACCTCGTGTCCCTATCCTCCCTAGGAACGCACGATGTTCTTTGAACATAATAGGGATTCCCTTTCGTGCGCTCCAAGCGATAAAAAAAATTTAGGAACGACGGTGAGTTCAATCACAATAGGTAATATTGTAATTATCTCTGAGATAGGAATATTGCCATCTAAAACAAGGTGGATGAAAGATCCCAAGATAATAATGTAAGTGTGTATGTATCATTTATGAATAATGTATATTTGTATTGCTATATATATGTTTTACTTCAAGATTACTAATTAGGGTGATTGTCATGATAAGTTTTGTATCATCTGTTTTTACTTTCGGAAAATAAACATTTTCTTCGTAAAGTTGAATAATTATTATTATTATGTATCCCACGAAAATCACAGGTACGGCGACCACATCATCGATGTCGCAGTGTGATGTATTTGTAATATATGAAATGTACACTTGTATGTGACCTGGTAGTGATTTTTCATGTGATGTCGCATTTCATGTCTGAACGACGTCACAGTGATGTTGCTGCTTGAGTCGGACATTTTCACATCGCCACGTTGTATCGGTAACATATTTGTGACTTCAAATGCGATATCGCATCAGCGAGCTTGCCTATATAAAGGGCCCAGGCTTAGGAGATAGGTCACTGCGACTGCTCACATTCCTTGGCCAATACCAGCCACCTCTGCGACACGCGGAGGGACGATCAGGCACACTCTCAGATGTGCCAAACCTTACTGTACAAATGTTTTACATATATGTGAAGATAATAAACGACTTTAAAACAAAAAAAAAACTAGCCATTCGATATCTATGAGGTAAAGCAGTGTTGAGCGCGGTTAGTACTTGGATGGGTGACCAATCGTGGAAACGCCGCGTAAGCATGCACATCTGTAGCGAGATAGCATATCATAGCTACAGCTACCATCAATGCCGTCCTTCGGAGGGGACGTTAAGCCGGCGGTCCCGAGGCCATGGATGTTGGACTCGTTAAAGATCCCTACCTCTGGTTGGAACACCAGAGAATTTGGCAAAATTTCCGGTTGGTGGTAGTATGCTCACCGGCGTCGGTGATTAGCCTTAGTAGCAGAAAAAGGCCGACGTTAAAGAAACAGGAAGAAGAAGATAGTCAACCCGTGCAGCCGTGCACCAAAATATGGCTAGTACTCTTCAATCTCGCTGGCGCTACTTCGACCGATGATCTGGTAATTGATAATCGCCTCGCTAGATATAGAGGAACTTCGCCGGCATATAAGGCCCGCAACTCGATCTCCTCAAGCCTACAGGGAATATCGTTGAACCTGGGTTGGAAGAACAATCCACAAAACCAACCCCCTGACACCATTTATCAAGTGAATGCTGAGCTAGTTCATCAAATGAGAAGGATAATCATCAAAGACTGTTTACATAAAAATAGATTGTTTGCTTTGCATAAATCCTTCCAATATCCCTGAGAAGTAATGCTAAATAAAACATTTTATATAAAGAGAACACATTTTATTCTACAATAAACTTGGTACTTGCACATTGCAAAGAGTGAAATATCGAATTCAAAACCACACAGGCCAGTATTCAGAAGATTATGTTTTTTTTTTAAATTCAGAGGTAACTACCTAGCAAGAGACTTCCTAGAATTACCATAAAATTGTACTAAATATTCTAATATTCTGTATTATATGAAACATTTCTTCTGAATGACTTCTGTAGATTATATATGAATTGTCAAATTTGAATAAACCAAACACTCCATCCATCCTTGAAATAAATTTGCATATTCCATATAACATAATACCAGTTAAACTCTCCAGTTTTACAAACACTTTATTTACTCTGTGACCCACTTGAGACCAAACCACTCACACCATTTTAATGATTTCTTTGAAATAGGTACCTAATCATTTGTAAACAATATACCTAATTAATAAAAAACAAATAAAATTACAACAACAACAATCAAAACCTAATCAATTCCAATACTTCTATTACTTCCATAATTGCTTTACAGTCTTTTTCCCTGCCAGATACTTGGTGACATAAGAAGCCAATATCAGTCCCGACAACACCAACACAATAACCATATAATCAAAGTCCTCCTTCAGCACATCAAACGTCTTGGAAGGTGCCACTCTAGTGTAAAATATGTCCAAACCGTGCACCAAAATATGACTGGTACTCTCCAATCTCGCTGGTGCCACTTCAATACCCTTAATCCGACCGATGCTCTGGTTATAATTGATAACCGCCTCGCTAGGCAGAGGAACTTCCGGCATGTAAGGCATGCAACTCTCCTCAGGCCCACAGGGAATATCGTTGAACCTCGGTTGGAAGAACAACCAAGGTAACTCCACCACAGCACCATTGGTCAGCCCCAGCAACAGGAATTTATTGGTTATCCCTTTCTCGGTAAGAGTCACGGCCAGCTTGGATGGCGTAGCCGGCAAGATGTAACTCTGCGTTTGGACGTGAGGCAACAAACTCACAGCATGAGAACTGAAGACGCTGGAGTTGCTCAAGATATGCCCTTCGTAAAGCTCCGCCGATACGACCTCGGTCCTTCTGAAACGTTCGTTGAAATAGGAGTACACCAGCCAGTTTTCAGAGTGGACGAGGTGGACTGGGCCCTTGGCCCTTTTGTGTGAGGTGGCGTACAAAACCAGTCCGGTAACGCCATCTATCAAGTAGATGCTGAGCACGTTCTTGTGTAGGGGATCATCGCTCAGAGTGGCGACTGCTACTAGGTTGGGATTCACGTATTTGTAGTAGACTGAGCGGTCTGGTAGAACTCTTCCTTGTGAATGGACTCTTTCATTGGGGTGTCTGGTGCTCAGAGCCACTATCTTTGAGCCTTTGAGGTTGACGTCCCAAGCGGGAGTCAGGGAAAAATCGGGGTCAGTGTGATGGAAATTGAAACCTCTTAGAGTGCTACTTTGTGTGTTGACTAGGTAAAGGTAAGTTTTGGAGATGCTTTTTTTGACTAGGGGTTCTGAGGAACTTGGGTAAATATAAACTTGATTGGTGGATGATAATACTAATACTGCTTTTGTATTGGTCTCATCTTCATGAGGCAGTAACATGGCTTGTGCTATTTTGTAATTCAATCTTTCCACCCCTTTTTGAGAATACCCAGTTATGGGATCAAACTGAAACAAAACAGTGTTACCTGAATTTGAGTCTTCAGCTAAAAGCAAGCATTGTGCTGGAAGGGGTAGATACCGTGCAGATCTCTGCATGAAAAGAATCATTTTTTCCTCTCCTAACATCTTGATAGGTTTCACATTGGGCATTCTGTAGCTCCAAGCTATTGAACCAGTCAGTGTATCAAGGGCAAACACTTTTCCAGCTCTTGTAGCAGCTACTATGAGTTTGTGTAAGCCAAACTCATCTCTAACTAGACCACTGTTTGACAATAATTGGCTGCCAAGAATGAAATTCGATAATTGCTTAGCTTGAGAAGTTAGTCTATGTGTGAACATGCTGACAATATCACTTGAGCTGGTTTTGAATTCATTTTCAATTGATGCATCCAACTCTGATACTGGTAATTCAACAAATTCTGTAGCAACAATGGCACTCAGAGCTTCTTCTCTAGTCCAGAGGATTTTCCCTTCTGGTAATCTAACAAAGAGAACTGCATCATCAGTAGTAGTGAGCAGCAAATCTGTTATAGATCCTTTTATACTGATTGCCATTATTCTTGGTGTGCCCAATCCAATTGGATAATCAATATCAACTGACCTCAAATTGCTTCCTGACAGGTAATCCATGCCCACCACTCTTATCAACTTATCTGGATTATCACTAGCTTCCAGCTTGTACAGCACTAACTTGTCTTCATTTTTAATTCCTACTGCACTTTGTATATTATCCATTGATTTTGCAACAAGTATATCTTTTTCAATCAAGACTAATTTAGCTACATTGTTTAACACTAACAGAAATCCAGGTACATCAGCATTGAATGTCCTCATTTCAACTGTTCCCAAACCCTCTCCCAACAAAGTATGAATAGGTTTAATCATCACAAAGCCATTTCTGGAGATAATATCCCTATAATATATCTGCCCTGAGTAATAATCATAAGTGGAGATACCTCGGGAGATACATACATAATATGTTTTTGTTAAAAGACAGTCTGACACATCAGCTATCCATGGTGCTGATATTTTATTTGTTGGTCCAGTTGAATCTCCAGTCAATAAATAGTAGGATGTAACTTCTAGATGAGATTCTGCAAAAGGCACCACATGGTGGAGGATACCATTGGTAACAGAATACTCAGAAGAATGTGTTTTCTCAATGATTACATTTTTTTCAGTCAACAGTGATCCAGTACTAATGTCCCAACTTCGAAGAATCCAGTTATCAAGAGAACTTGAAATTGTGTATATGTCCCTGTCTATATGCAATAGTTTGATTTCATACTCAGTAGGATCTTCCAATAGTTGCCTCCATGACAATTTACCATCCTTTAGGTTTATGCTTGCTAACACATTCTCATGAGTCACTGAAATGATTTTCTTGTTTTCTATTTGAGCATGTTTCACTTTTCCTATGAAGGATCTCTTCCAATCGAACTTTCCGACTTGGTCTTCATAGAGAGCTGAAGAATAATGTGTGCATAGAAACAGGATTATTTGAACTCCAAAAACTATTTGAGGGGTCATTTTCATCTTACTACTAAACCCAAGGAATGAATGGCAATATCACAGGAATAACATGAATTTTCAGTTGTCTTTTTGTAACATGTGAAAACAGCAGTAAACACTGAAAATCAAACCACATCACAGTCAAATTGCCTGTCAAACTCAGCTGATGCTGATTGCTGACAAGGAAATCGTTCCGTTTCCAATTTGATACACGATACAAAAAATGACCGGTGAGGAAACGGACCGCTTATTTTTCAGTGCAGTAGCGATGCGATTAATGCAAGAAACGGAACACACCTAATGAGAGTGCTGATATGTCAAATTGAGAACTGACACTTGACTGGTTGGCATTATTTGCATCTTAGATCATACAGGAAGGAGATCTATAACTAAATTCAGACTAAGGGGGCTATTCTGTAACGCTTAACGACATCGTTAGCGAACGATAATCGTTAAGGAACGATATTTGTTATTCTGTAGATCTCATTCTGTAGCTAACGATTGTCGTACCTGTACGACAAAACTTATCGTTTGTAGACGTTACGTGAAGGATAGGGTCCCTTGATGGAAATTGACGTTAAAGTCATCCTAACATGACTTTAACGTCAATTTTCATCAAGGGACCCTAGTGAAGGAGACACAAAAAATAATATAGAAATTGGCAGACAGTGGTGAATGTGAATAACCGGGCATTAGTTCTAGAAGAGATAGCACGCAGATAATAAACTCTTCATTGTTTCTAGTGATTGCATTGGTACATTACATTGTAATATCATGTGATATCATCAAAAAAATTTTCAGACAACAACATATAGACAGCAACTCAGAATACTCAGGGATATGAGTAATCCTGAGTTACCAGATGTGCTAATTCTTCAGATGCATTTATAATATTGAGCAAAAGATGCAGCACAAGATTAAATAATGAAATATCAGGATTCATGTTGCCAGCAGATAGAAATACAAAAACACTCCTATCATAAGAGTGAGATTAGAAAGATAGGGAAGTTTCCTTATAGTAGTAGTATAATATTATATACATACATGCATACATGTACATATGTATGCATGTATACATACCAATTGGCCATAGACCTTACGATAGATCCTTCAGCCCATGTGTGTTCTATGTATGCTTTGTTACTAACTCCATACGCCACCTTAGGAGTAGAACCTTTCAATTGGAAAGCAACAGCGAATCGTGCGAAATCGTCTCCTGCCGAGGCAACGAAAATTTAAATTTCTCTCGTTATATAAATAAAATTTCTGCTCTGCCAGAGATTCGGACCTAGCGACCTTTCGATATTTACATTTCATGGTATCTACATGAACTTATCAAAAACCTGATGTGGGTTCAGACAGACTCAACAGTTCATCCCAACCCAATGTGTCGATCACTTCATGAGGTTGATGATATTATTGTCAACAATCTTGTTGTGAAGTTCCCTCAGACAGCTGGTGACATTTTCAACACAAAAAACAACAATTTTGTTGTCTGGAAGACGAAGTACTGACCATATTATTCGACAATAATAACATATCATTACCTTCTTTTCAACTTCTAACGAGTTTCGCGCGTTTTTTAGCCACAGAACATCAACATACTGTTACCAACATTCATCAAATCCATTTATAACCATGTCCCCAGATTTTTCTCCAACGACATCGATTCCGAATAAGTTTCCAGAATGTATCGTTCAAAATGTCGTTGGTCAATGTATCGTTACGGTAACGATATCGTATTCTAACGATAAGTTACTGAATAGACCCCCAAATGCCTTAGTTAACGCATGTTTACAACATGACCCTGGAGGCAAAATATTGAAACACAACCTCATTCTTCTGTGATTTATTGAAACACAACCTCACTTTTTTATTTGGTTACAGGGGAATCAAAGGAATGAAATAGTTTTTCACAATATTTTGGCATACGAATCGTGTTTTTTGCGCTATTCATTAATTCGAGCATGCCTTCGCATTGTGCTGTTGTACAATGCACAAAAAATGCAGCAAGAGACTGAAGTATATGATTTTTCAGGTAAATAGTAATCTCACATAGTTATCATTATGAAATGTGTTGTCATTCCTTATTAAAATTCCTTCTGCCTTCTGCCACTTCTGCAATACAAGCTAATACCACAGCTAATACTGTTAATTGATTGAAAATGTCTACAACACACACGATCGTCAGCATGTCAGACCAGTCCTCCCGATTGATTGAATCCAATCTTCTTGCATTATTTTAGAAATTTCAGGTGTATTTCTATTAGCTCCTATCGCAGAAGGAATTCCGATGAGAAATCAGAGAAATTACTAAATTTCAAAAATGAAAACTATATGTGAGTGACTATAGTAGGTACTTACTTATAAATGATGATGTACCAACCGGATTACTTCGTCTTCCGCTGCAGTTTTTGTGCATTTCACAACAGCATAATATGATGGCATGAACGAATTGATGAATAGCGAAAAAATACGATTCGTATGCCAAAATAATAGTGAAAAACTATTTCGATCACCTGTAAACAAATAAGAAAAGTGACGTTGTGTTTCAATATTTTGCCTCCAGTGTCGGTCATCTGACAGTTCTTGCACGCAACCCATACTTGAATTCGTAAACTAAGAAAACAACCTTTTAGTTGCTTTTAGTAGGATACGGAATTAGCTGAAATGAATGAAATATTATTGAGAGAACTCATGAAATAACTGCCACTTGCACTCAAGTCGAGTCAAAGCTATACAAAAATAGATCAAAATGTTTACACCGTCTTGGTTATCATACTATTTTGGTCTAGTACGCAACAACTGTCGGTACCTCAGATTCGGTACCAAATCAAGCCGGTAACTTTACCAAGTATATAGTTTATACCAAACTGACCGAGAGTATTTAGTCATAATATAGTCATCAGTCATATTACCAAGACACGGTATGAACGTAGTCAATAAACTGAGCTTGATGCTACCACAGTGCCACAGAAACGCAAAATTCGCACATCTTGATTCCATTCGTAAACCTGGTTGTGCACTGGATTTGCACCAGTTTTGCACCTGCACTACGTTGGTTCTGTCCAAAATGTGAATTGGTGCCTTTTCAATGGAATACGAAATGATATTATGATAAAATTACTGTCGGAGGTTGAATCGGATAAGCTGGTTTGTCTTTGTCTATAACTTGTCCGCATCCTGAGATTCTTTCTTGATTTAATTTGAAAACAGAAAGCCCATTCGTTTGTGTTTGCTCTACCTGCTGAACTTGATTTTGTTCTAGGGCTTTTTCTATTTATATATCTACTACTTATATATGAAGCATAGCTGTCGTCAAAGCGGGACCTGATGCCCAAAAACTTGTCAAATTCCATCCTTCACTTTCCGTCCTTATAGATTCAGGAAGTACCTCTCATTTCGGTTCCATTTTTATTGAGATATCGTATAGGCGATGGGCCATATAAATGACAACATGCCATGAACAGAGACAACCATGGAAGAAAATCAACTCTAGCAAGTCCAGCGATACAAACGAACAGACCTAAAGTAGACGTTTCATGGGAATAATTTTAAGCACTTTTTTTTTGTTACCATCTCACTCCCTAGGTATAAATGTTGGCAACGTTGTTCATGTGGTTTGTTTTGTGCCTTTGTGGTCTGTCAAAATTGTCAAATTCTGTCATTGAATAGTAACTGTTGTTTTTGTGATTTTGTGTAATTAATATAATAATATTAATAATAAATAATGCATTAGGGAATTCGTACAAGGATAACATTCATTATTTATTATTAAAACATCTGGGTATTATCGATGTAGAGATCTTCATGAAATTCAGTTTTTATCATGAATAATTTTCTCAAAAAGTTTGTGATAATGTTACCTCCCTCAAGTGGGATGAAGTGATTTTATTTGAGTAGGTGTTTTTGAGTTTTTTTGTTAAAATGACATTCTATTTTATTAATACTTCCTAAAGGATAATTTCATTTGAAACAATTTTCTCAGTGTCCAGTGAGAATATTTTTAATAAGTAATAGCATAATTATAGTAGATGGAGGAGATTACTATAACACTTCACTGATTTAAAAGTTACTACTTTCGGATTCCTAGATGCAAAGTGCTTTTATTATATGCTGTTTTAAGAGTTTATTGTGTTACTTCTAGAGGTGTGAAATCCAGCAACTATCATCAATCAGCTCAACAATCATGAAAATGGTAAGTAATAGTCTAATTACATAATATCTGCCGAGATATCTGTTTTTTTCGAAGCTTTTTTCTCTGGCAATTATGAAACAAATGTTCAATCCATCACTTAACACACTTCAGGATTTCCTCGAGGATTTCACAGTGCCTCTGATTAGGTATTCCAGATATTATTTCTCAAATTACAAGCATATTTCATTCTTAAGGGTCTGTCCCAGTCTAGTATTTCAAGTTGAAATAAGAAGTGAATAGTTTTCGAGAACCACCCATGAACCACCTTGGTTACTACCATGCATGATAATCCTGTCCTATTTATATTAGTAGTTATATTATCAGTTGATTGATTGTCTTGAAGTTAACAAAATTCAGATCACCTTGAACATAAAAATTTCCAAGGAATTCATTGGTGTATTTTAGGAAACTGGGATATGTCTTTGAAATCTTGGGGTAGTCCTGAGAATCATGGGGCAGTAGTAGGATATAAGGAGAAAATGCTACCAAATCATTGAAAGTTCAAGTAAAACAGTGGAAATCATTCATAAATTGTCTTAAATCAAAAAGTCCCAGAATGCATGGAAAATCGTAGAAAATTATGAGAAATCTTTGAACATCAGCAAAGGTCTCAAATAAACAAGAAATACCAAGAATCTGTGTGGTAGTCCCAGTCAGGGGCGGCGAGCTTTGTTATGTTCAATTGGTGCCAGAAGAGGGGATAAGGTAAAGCTACCAATAATCAAGAATAATTATATACTTTGTTCAATGTCCAATGCTTTTGGATTTGAAACTCACAATGTTTTTTTTAACTCTTGGAGTGCACGAAAGGAAATTCCTATGAGGAGGAGGAGGAGGTAGGTATTGGATTTTTTTTCAAACTTCTGGAGTTTATAAGTTCTTAGGAATACTTCCATTGAAAATTCTAAAGCTTTG